TCTATATAACTCTATATAACTCTATATAACTCTATATAACTCTATATAACTCTATATAACTCTATATAACTCTATATAACTCTATATAACTCTATATAACTCTATATAACTCTATATAACTCTATATAACTCTATATAACTCTATATAACTCTATATAACTCTATATAACTCTATATAACTCTATATAACTCTATATAACTCTATATAACTCTATATAACTCTATATAACTCTATATAACTCTATATAACTCTATATAACTCTATATAACTCTATATAACTCTATATAACTCTATATAACCATGCATACTACCACATTCAATCAAAAAAAATTCCACTAAAACCAGGAACCACCGCGTACCTGTTATATGTATGGTGTGAAACAAAACAAAAAAAAACACAAAACAAAAAACACACCACCAAGTAGAGTAAAAGAATAGAAGTCCCTAACCTACCTATGTAACTAAATTACCTTATGCCCTAGCCTACCTATATAATAAATTAATTTTAATCTCACCTACCTACGTTTCATTAACTTAACTCAAGACTCAGGTAGGAAGAAAAAAAGAGTAAAACAGAACATAAAATACTACCCCACAAACAAACATGATGTATGTATGTATATATGTATTAGCAACCGCTAAAGAACCCACCTAAAATATAAAAAAATACAACATACAAACCACAGACAAGCAACTCTATATAACTCTATATAATAAAATAAATAAAAATAAATAAATTATAAAAATAAAATAAATGAGATCAGACAGACTGCTTCAAGCGAGGCAGAATGCCTGATCTGATTTTCATGTTGTCTCAGCTCCTATTTATACTCGTTTCAACCATACATCTTCATCATTTCCATCATTCACATCAGTATAATATAAATTCATTATAAAAGCAACAGTAATCAGTGCTATATATGTACGCTCGCAGTTCAAATTTTTCGGGAAAAATTCAAAATAGTTTGAGACCACACCTTGCTTAACATCCGATTACAAGCCGAGCCAAGCCAAGCTGAGCCAATATGCGTAGATTTATAAGCGCTTTTATGTTAAAATTTTGCTCGCTTTATATATATAGTATATAAATTCATTATAAATGCAACAGTAATCAGTGCTATATATGTATGCACGCAGCTCAAATTTTTCGGAGAAAATTCAAAATAGTTTGAGACCACACCATGCTTAACATCCGATTACAAGCCGAGCCAAGCCGAGCTGAGCCAATATGAGTAGATTTATAAGCGCTTTTATGCTAAAATTTTGCTCGCTTTATATATATAGTATATAAATTCATTATAAATGCAACAGTAATCAGTGCTATATACGTAACCACGCAGTTCAAAATTTTTTGGGAGAATTCCAAATAGTTTGAGATCACACCTTGCTTAACATCCGATTCCAAGCCGAGCCAAGCTAAGCTGAGCCAAGCCCAGCCAAGCCAAGCTGAGCCAATATGCGTAGATTTATAAGCGCTTTTATATTAAAATTTTGCTCGCTTTATATTCAAATATCCCAATATAACAAATTCTCCATCTTATTTTAAAAATTTTCTTTGATGCTTTTTAATCAGTCAGGTCACAAAAATCATTATCGATATCGCGATAAAATCAAATTGAAAATTGTTTAAAGTTGTTGATAAAAGTAACTAGTATATAGTAAAAAACTTAAATTTTTCTGAAAAAATTCAAAATAATTTGAGACCAGTGGTGTAGTCCTAAAAAAAAAGTACCGGAACGGCGTCGGAACGGCTAAAAGATAATAAAATATAAGAAGTAAAGAAAGATAAAAAAAACGGTTTTATTTCGACATACTATTTTTAATCTTTATTTAATTCATATATTTTAATTTTACAACAATTTCCAAAGAGAGTTAATTGAAATGTTTTCTGATGAAGATTTTCTTGTCTGGTTATCATCAGCAGAACGGTGTGTTCGAAGCCATGTTATAACGTAATTTTCAGGATTAAAAATATTTAGTGGTGGTCCGTGCATTTTAATAAATAATAAATTTGAAACATTTTCAATAAGTAAGCGATTTCTCCTGTCATTTAATATGAGGTTCATATTACTAAAACCTCTTTCGCATTCAGAAGAGCTACAAGGTATTAGTTTGCCATACAACATTAACTGATTTAAGTGGTCTGCAGGTGGATTTCTTCCTCCATCATCTAAATAATCTCTGTATTCACTATAACATTTTTTAGACGACAAATTAAACCTTTTGCAAAGTGAATGAATTTCTTTTTCTCCATATCCAAGCGGAATGTCACTGGGCCATTCGTTTTTTTCTAAAATTCGAAATTCATTTACAATATTTGTTTCAGGTGATACCGAGTTTACAATTAATCTGCGATTTATGCTGTTGATAATACTTTGCAGAAATTGATTTCTTTTAATGACAGATACTTTGCTATTACCTGTAATAGTTACTGTTCCCAATTTCATTTTTTCAATCGCTTTTGCAATTTCAATTAATTTATTCCCTTTTTCAGCATTTTTCATAGATTCTAAATATCGTATGCTTTGGCGAATTTTTTTATCTGCGTAAATAATCGTAGTACCTCTGTTTTGTAATGCCTCAGATAGCAGGGAAAATTCATAAAGGACATCATACATTAGCGCTAAATTTAACAAAAATTCTTTTGATGAAATGTGTTTATAAAGACCAAGATACATGCATTGTTCTGTTTTGGATCGATTCACATCTTGATTAGCTTGTATGAAATGTTTGCACAACGCTTCAAAATTTTGGTAAACCGCTACTGTTCTAAATGAACTTGCCACCCACCTAATACCTAACACACGGCCAATTTTTCTTATTTCTGTGTCTAGGTTTTGTGCGCATGACTCCAATTCCCTTTGATTTTTCGGTGACTGGTGGTAAAGAGTGTATAGTTTATCCATAAAAATTTGAAAATGGTTAATTCCATGTACTTCATCTATTGCATCGCCAACAGATAATTCTAGTCGGTGATTCACAGTGCCATTTAATGAGGTTTGGATATTTGTTTGTAAGTTGAGTGGAGACTCCAGTATTCCGCCCGAACATGACGCTCGCACCGTCACTGGTGAAAGAAATTAAATTGTGTGCCAAATAATGGTCATCAAACCCGTAACCTGCAAGACAGTTTAAAAGACTATTTGTAATGTTGTTGGCAGTCTGGCTTTCCAATTCAACTAAATCTAAGAAGAGATAATGCGGATCTTCCATTTTATTTATTTCACACTTAAAATAAATAATCAGAGTTGATTTTTTACTGAGCGTAGTAGATTCATCCACAAGAATCGATATTTTACCATTATTCTGAATAATTGTTTGGCATATTTTTGATTTCATTTGTTTAGCGATATGATTAATAACATTAGTACAAGAAAATCTTGATTTCAATCCAGGAGCAATATTTGTTCCATTTAATTCTTGTAATTGTGATAAGTCATATAAATCTGAGAATGGACGATCATGTTTAGCTATGTAATACGCTGTACGAAAAATTTCAGACGTAGAACTTACAGCAGAGTTGTTTAATTGATCTATTACTTTTTCCATGGGTTTTTTTTCTGCTTCTAGTAAAATTTTCTCGGCACTGATATGTGCTGCACTCTTAGCATGTTCATGAATTTTTTTTCTCAAAGACGTCAACTGTGAACTTTTATCTTTTCCATAATAAATTACAGTTGCGGTACTCCATTCTTTTGAAATGCTGACACTTTGAGATTTGGATGGTCCCAAAGTTCTTACTTTAGTGCATAATAAACATCCTAATTTTTCTGAATTGCAAGTAAGCCAATTATAGTTTTTTTTCTTTTCAGCCCACATATCAGCTGTCCAAATGCTGGGAAAACATGGTTTTATTTCTTCAGGTTTCCCATTCTCACTTTCATTTTCTATCAATTCTAAGTTGGTATTGGCAGAATCTTCATCTTCATTGTCGCGCTTTTGTTTTTTACAAAAAAAATCAAGAATGGTATTTCCCGTTTTTTTGACATCTGGACTCACGCAAATTTATATCCTTCTAAAAATAACATTAATAATAATATAAATTATAATATCATAATGATAATATTGTTGTATACACAAATAATTTATAATATAATATATTTTATTTTACGGATGGAGCCTAACATTTTTTTATTTATTACCCCACTTTCCTATATAAAAATGTATTTAAACAATTTGATTTAAAAAAAACAGTAAGTAATAAAAAGCAGAATATTTAAAGTAAATGTAAAATAAATAAAATAAAAAAATTACTTTTTTAACTTCCGCAAAAAACGCAAATATAATTTGAAACAATGTTTACTAAACCGTAAGCATAGCAACAATGATATAGCGTTGAATAATAAACAGTTTGAATAAAAAAATTGAAGTTATTCATCGTTTGTATTGGTATTGGTTAAAATTATCTATTAATTTCCAAAGTTAAATTTAACGCCTGTAAAATGTACTTTTTTTTATATTGAAATTGTAAAAAAAAGTGCCGGAACCCGTTCCGCCTCCAAAAAAAAGTACCGGAACGCCGTTCCGGCTCGACTACACCACTGTTTGAGACTACAACATAACACAATTGTATACAATTAGAATGTGTAAATACAACATTATTAATATATTATAAATAGGTATATATATCTATCTATCTATTTCTTTATTTAGTTCTGCCTGCCTATGATATTTGGTCAAATTTACGTGATAGGAATTGAATATAACTTTTACACCGGCTGATTAACTGCCATGCAGTAAAATAACTACTTTTAACATGACGTCATCTCCTCTAACGATTTCGCAACGAATTACCCATCCTATTTGATAAATTTTTTTTGATGTTTTTTAATTAGTCAGGTCACAATCATCATCATCAATATCGCAGTGAAATCAAATTGAAAATTTTTGAAAAGTATCTTTATTCATTTTATGATACTACTTGTTTAATAAAATTCTGTTTGAGACATATAACTAGAATATAAACATCCAGTAAAAACCGAAAAAGTGCTGTTTTTGGCGATGAAAAATGATGTGATAAGCATAACAAAAAAGGTCATCAGCCAAAAATGCTGGCTCACCTCACCCGGTAACCTTTACCAAAACAATAAACCACAACAATTATCAATGAAGTTAATAGAGATAAAATGACTTTTTTAGCGGCGAGGATGTCACAATTATTTAATCCACATGATTGCCTTACCGGCAATGGAATTATTAAATGACCTGGAGGTACATAAACCCATAGTGAAATTATATTTCTAACTACTGAATAAACCAATTAAACAAATAGCCGATTACAAAAACAATAAATAAACAACAAAATAAATAAATGAAATGCGGCTGTATTCCCCAAATAACAAATTAATCAGCGTTAAAATGCGTAATAGAATAAGATAGATCCGGTGATGCAATCTAACGTGATTATTGCACATGTGAAGCATTTGTGATGAATGCAATGTTTGAAGTTGATGTGATGCGATGAGAAGTAAGACTAGCATGAAGATGAACTGGACAGCCTATCCATCAATTCTTCAATCTTTGCTCTGTAGATCCTAAATCTGTGCAATCAACACCAATTCATGAAAATCAAGCGTCATAATTAATAAAAGCAGCAACCAAAAAAATTATTTTAAATATTATTGACAATTAGAGACACTACATACTTATCTCTAATCATTTCTAATTCGAGTTTTTCATCATTGTAACATTTCAATAAGAAAGCTTGGAGCACTGCATCTGGTAGGTGTACAAAACTTGCCACCTGTGTCATTGTAAGGCAAAAAAATTAAAGTCATAAGAACATAACTACCTGATGATTCACAACACGTAAATGCATACAATCAAGAGTGGAGATGGATTGTCCGTAGGATGACGAAGAGTCGACTTAAACGATGATGAAACGCATACTTGCAATGAAACACCGAAACAAGAATGAAAATGTTCGCCTGCACAGACAAAAAAATAAAGCCAAAAAGAAGAAGAGCACACAGTGACGACTAGACTACAAAGTCGAACCTCTTCACTGACGTCAACAATTCTGTATTTCTCTACTAGGTAAAATTTGACTTGATCCTCCAATGGACCATAGAAAATTCGCTCGATCAGTGGTATATGGTTCTCTTTAAGTATTTTTGTTTCTGTTTCAAAGTTAAAAGCAAAAAATGGGATTTAACTCTCAGAAGATATCGAACATGTTTAAAATGGAATAAAAATATTCTAAATTATTTCCGTGTCAGAAAAATAATTCTCTAAGCTATTGCTGTCAGAAAGATTTGAACATTCGACAATATATTAATGTAGCAAAATATGATAACGAGATAATGAATAATGACACTGCAACCGGTAGTGGATTTAAGCATAGACAGGTAACGGCCTGGAGTGCTAAATTTTGAAGAGCGGCAAAATTTGAAGGCCACGGCCTCAAAAATGCTCTAAAAACTTTGTTTCGTTTTTGAATAAATCAATGGTTGGAAGAATACATGCATTGCATTACAGGAGTAGTCTTTTTTTTGTTTAAAGTGCATTAAAAATGATCTGCGTTTAACGATTTCAGAAGAAAGGCTAAACTTCCTTGCAATTCTCAGTGCATTAAAGAGAGATTTAGTAAGCATGGACCTTAATTTTATTAATGACGAAGTTTTGACGTAACATTTTCGCTTTTTTAGGCTGTTTATTGCAAATATATTTTAAATAACGTATTATGTTAAATGTTCTTGAAGAATTTATGCAATAAAAATGTATTAAAAAATATTGCTTTAATGCGTAGTTTTGAATGTTGTAACTGGGGAGGCCCATGGGCAGCAGGGAGGTTGTTGTTTCGCCTAAGACTGCACTGCTCTCTTTAAAAAAATGTTGAAGAAAATGATTTATCTGGCGACTTATATTTAATAATATTCATTATAAGACTGAATACTAACTAACCCCCACTCGATCTAACAGCACATAAGCAGAATTCAGATGGCGAATTATCAACCTACAACATTATTAATTACAGTTACGTTAATTATTATCAACATCGCCAGCACAAGTGCAAAGATATTAGCATCAACAAACAACTTGATAAACGACAAAGATAATAATACGATGAAAAAAATTAAGATAGAAATTAATTGTAGAACATTGGCAATATTTTCAGACTTTGAACTTATCAAGCAAGAGTTTGATGACTTGATCTGATGAGTCATAATTGGTGACGTTAACGTTGGTTAAGCTGCCATGCATCGGAGTAAACATGCTTGTCTGAAATAAACAATTTGTTGACTTTTAATTAGTTATTTAGTTAAATAGTTAATTAATTACAAAACTGTCAACTCTACATAATGTCTATTAAAGATTTAAAGACAAGTGAGAGTGGGAAAGAGAGAAAAATAAATAAGAAAATACAGAATTACTGCATTCAAAATCTTTTCGTAATTTAAGAACACAAAAACACGAAGGAATGATAATCAAGAGAAGACGTGAAGAAAGCGAAATAAAGACCTCGGTACTGAAAAGGTGACCATTTATGATTGACAGCCTCTTCCTGATGGGATTCCTCTTCTTCGATCGCATGACCACATTACTTTGCGAACGTGATACCTTTAAAAATTTTATGTATTGGTGATTAGAATGAAAAAATGTAGAACTGATTATTTTCTAGACATCAATCAAAAATTTTTTTTATTCTTTAGAGATCAGAATCTGACAGATGCAGAACAAACAGTTACAACAAATGAAGGCAAAAAATAGACACAACTAAACGAAACAACATCTCATACAGGACTGGTCACTTTGAAACGTTGGTGGTCATCCAATGCTGAACAAAAATTTTCATTGGTCAGTTTTAAATGTGGGCTATCGTCTGAAGTTGGACTCAAATTTTCATTTGTTGATTCAATGACTGTTTCAATGTTTGAATTGCTACACTTTGGCAGATTCAAAAATGTTTCAAGCTGTGATTCCTGTTGTTTCATAAAACTTGCTGAATTGGTGAAGTTTACATGATGATATTAGTGATGACTACATGAACATAATGCAGAGATGACCATGAATATAAAAAATTATATAAAATTAAATTAAATGTAAAAAGTGGTTGGTGATAAAAAAATTTAGAAAATGATTTTGGAATACTCTACAACTTTATTTGTTTATTTATTTATTAATATATTTAAATTAAATACACCAACAAAGCTAAAACATATATAAACTGGACATTTGCATGAACTGACATTTGAAAAACTGTGCCTGCTGACTGCATGCTGAGATTTCTTCTCTTCATCTTTCAACTTCAACCTAATTGGTTGTAGGATGCCCCAATATATCTTCAATGATCCTTTCAATACATCTGTCTCGTTGCCCAACTCATCCTATTTAATATATGATACATCCTTTTATCTACAAATGTATTAATTTTATTTTACATAATGATAAAAAACATTGGGTTTTTTTATTTTATTTTCTTACAGCATGTGCATCCAGCCCCAGGGCTAAATAAATTTTGCCTATAGTAATAATTGTAATAAATTTTTGTAATAAATTTTAGTAATAAATTTTTGCCTATACTAATATAATATAGGCCCGATGCCTGCCCTATATACATGATTTCCTAACAATTATTTAATAAATCATTTGTTTTATTTGATATAAAATATAAATGAACAAAAACTCACTTTTTCAAAATTAATCTGAAAATTAGGCTTGTCTTGATAAAATTCATTATAGATTAATAACTTTGCGTTGAAGTCAGGCCTGTTGTTTTAGTACAAAGTATAAAATTATATTAAAAACAAGTCAGTGTCTGTTGCCTAATATCATTTCATTGTGTATGTACGCATTGTATGTATTTATGTATATTTTATTAATTTTTAATGTAAAAAATTACAAAAGAAAACTGAAAAAGAAAGATGAATCTAACTAACCTGTGCATTTTGTAATTATTATAATTATAATTCTAGAAAAGGAAAACTCAAGATAAGTATCTACATAACATAACAGATATTTTAATTTTTAGTATTTGATTTAATTAAATCTTTCACTCCACTACCATTAGCACTACACCATACAATACAATGTTTGTATGTAAATCCTTGATTAGTTCTAATTGTATGCACCAGCTATAAAGGCCAGACTAAACTTAGTAGAGTAGATAGTTAATTAGAGATGGTGAATGACTGGCGGCTGAACCAAATGAACAAACAAATTAATATTAGGCCAAAGAGAAACTTTGAAAGGCAGTAGCACTCATGCTCTACAACGTTTTCTCTCAACCGAAATGCTTTAAGAAACGATCAACTGGTACCATCCTTCTATACATACATACATAAAGAAAAATAATACTCCACTGTATGGGATTGCCTGTTTAAAATTTTTACGATTTAATGATAGAACGCCTAATATTAACACTTATCGATGTAGGAAGTTTCGGCGCTATCAGAATCGAAGATTGATTGGACCGACTTCGCAATCACGAACCGCTGACAACTTTAACAAATAGAAAATCTATTACAAAAAATAATTTAATTTCATTAACTTGCAGAAAAAACAACACTAGTGAAAAAATTAAAATGTAAAAAATCAACATCTACTATAAGCAAGGGAATTATTTCAAAGTGACGTTACAAAGAGAGAGACTGAGGTCAGAATCTTCTCTGGCTTTTTTGACCTCCTTAAGATGAAGAATGGTATTGGTGAAGTGCTTGTTTATTTGGTCGAGTTCATCGCCGGCCTCAAGCACCTCAGAATCAGTTCGAATTTTGCTGATCAGCTGAATGAGAACATGCGGGGTGACCTAGGATTGATTCAAAAACTTCATTGAATTAATCGATTCATTTAATAATTTATTGCTTGACCTACCTGACTAAATTCTTGCAACAACACAGCTGCTAGTACAACCAACTCATTACGATTATATTTTAACAATCATTGCTGCCTAATGTAATAATTCGATTACTCACACTGAACAAGTTGGAGCAGGCATGCTCAACAGTTTTTATCTACAGGCGGTATTGGATTGGGGGGGGAGGGAATTTTGTGAGCCGTAAAAAGTGTAGAAGCTATATAACACCATGTTCAGTTATGATAAACATCTATTAGCCTAATTGTTATTGAATGACTTTTAAAAATATAATCCAATAATTAATAAAATTATCAAAAAATAATAATAATGTGACGACTTTCGACATTAAAAATTTTAAATTTCCCTGTTCGTCGCTTTCCAATTACCAAAATTGAAATTACAGAAAATATATTGATCATTATTATTGAGCAATAGTTGAAGACATTGTTGAGCGAGTTATCTAAAATACATTTGGAGTATGTTCGGCGGCGGAATAAATTGCTTAACTTAACGGGTCATACGTTGATCATGCCTGGGACGTAGCTTATAGTTTAAAAAATAAAATACTTACCTCGTCACAACCTTTCTCGTAGTAGTAAATGTACTTGTTTAATATTTCAACAAACAACTGAAGCTGTACTGTCTTATCCATGCAGCTGGTAGCTATGCGGATAGCTTTTTTTAGACATTCATTTACCTTCGGCCCATCTCTCATCTTCCCAGACGAGCGAAAATTGTTTAAATATTGTTATTGATTTAATATCATTAAATCATTTATAGATATAAAATTTACCATTTATTAACTATTAACAACTATTAACACATATTATTAATTAAAATGATACATTAACTAAGACTAATAGGAAGAGAATAACTTTTTTTAAATTATATTATGTCAAAATGTTAATCAAACAATGGAAACATATTCAAGCGACCAAACGAAGCAACCCAACCTCTTGTCCATCTTTATCTTTGATTTTTGATGACCAGAATATATGTGAACATGTTAACACTGCACGGCATTGATCAGGTTTCTTCAGTAATTTTGCCGCAGAGAAACCACATTGGTTCCTGGATGTTGTTTTTCGGTGAATAAATACTATTTAGATTTGGTATCAATAAGAGTCATTTCATAATTTGATAACCTCAATGGGCCATGATTTTCCTCAGAAAAGCATGCTATCTTTTCTAAAGTAGCAATGATGAGGACAATAGCATTCAACTGAGCCTTGCTCTCTCCTATCTCTTCCTCGTACAAAGTGAATGCCTGCGACCGTCATTATATAACTCACGTGTTACATTTTTATAGATTAAAAAGACAATCTTCAACTTAGGTTTCACTTATGAATTAAATGAAAGCAAATAAAAGTACTTGGGACATGAACTCATATGCAACTGTCTCATGATCTTCAAAAGGTATCTGAGACACCGTCAGTGCTCCCTGCAGGAATAGCCTGTAATTTTTATATTTCGTCCAATCAATCCTCAATTAATTTTATCTACTAACTAACTTAGCAAACATCTATTTAAGTCAACAATTAAATTAAATGAATCAACAACCGAATCTGATAAATCAATCAATTATTAGATCAACAAACCACAACCACCAGCATGCATTTGCATATAGTGAAAAATTAACCATAATCTTAGCCAGCCCTATTTCGAGATCTTAGTACAAATTTGTTCCACAGAAGATTAAAAAATCTCGTGTGAATCCTCAATTTTTAATACCGCAACCGACGTAGCGAATGAATCAAGAAACCTTAATGCCAATTCAGTTAGTTCGGCTTTAATGAGTGCTCCGATTGTTTGGTGACAAAGTTGGAAAATCTTTTGACATTTCTTATCCCACTTTGGGTCCTTTAAAATGGGGAGAAAATGTTTGCTTCGGTGAATGAATGCAATTGATCAGGAAAGTTGAAGTAATTTGATAGTTTTCATAAAATATTAATCAATAAATTTATCAATAAAAACAGTCAACAACACAATAAACAATCAGTTAATTATGGCATAAACCAGCCAGCTGACCAACCAATCAACCAACCATTGATTTGAAGTCATTGTATGCAAGAGCAAGTTTGTATGCAGCAAACACGAGGGGAGGCATCGTGTATTTGATCCTCATGTTCCCTCCATTGCCAAATATCTTTCGAGCAAGACTCAACACCTTAAAATAATAATAATATTTCTCTCGCGATTGACCCTAATGTTATTATAAAAAATAACAGTATCGGTAACATGTTATAATAATTATTAACATTCATTCAAGCCAGCCAACCAACCGACCGACCGACTAACCAAATATTGTTGGTCGAGATTCTGAGCTTGAATGAGGTTAATCAGCCTTGCTATGTAATTTTGTTCCTCCATGAAATCTTCCTCATCAAACTGATCCGACTGATCAGTCTGATCCTGGATCAACGGAGACAGCAGGGTTAAAACTTTCTCGACCTGACAGCAAAAATTTTGGAAAATAATATTTTAATATCCAAAAATTCAATTTTTTACATCAATAAAAACGTATTTTAAAATAAAAATTTGGAAGCAAGTGACATTACTTAATAAACGACAGATTATGAGTTTGATGGAAAAAAACCGACTGGTTGGTGAGGCGTGAACATGCCCAACAGTATCACCAATTGTTGAACCAAACTGTTGAAACAAGTGCCAACAGAAGATGTTTACACGAAATTAGACTTGTTTTAAGAGTCGACCTACTTGAATAATTTCTAGCAAATTGACATGAAAAACTGAGGCTGAGTTATGCAAAGAAGTACTTGAACAAAAGTGAATATTTTTGACAACGATTTTGTTTACAAACGAAACTCGCGTCTCGTTTCCTAGAAATCTGTGAAGCATCTTGCGGTGAGGTACGTGCACAACTTCTGGAGTTAGCTAAATCAGGTTTTTTGAAATGCAGAAACACGCAAAAAACGCTTGGTTTCTTAAAACATTAAGTCAGCAGGTAAAGTAGTATGTAAAAATTTGATATCCAGAAACTGTTGTCTGCCGCAAGCTGACAGTGCTACTTGCCGAAGGTCAAAATTAATTTAATATGTTCAAATCGATGAGTGTGAACAATTTTTTGAGCAAGACTGTGTAACGAACTATGCAGCAAACTAAAACTGGACTGTAGAATAAAATAATACCATGAAAAAACGCTGGTTTAAAATAAAATTTAGAACATGAAATGATCAAAAAAACTAAAAAAACACATCGACGAAAGACATTCTGAGTGTTTACGGTTATTTGTATTTATTTTATTTCATAATTATTTGGAGTTATTAAGTGAAAAATTCAAAGTTCTAATTATGGGCCATGGTGACCAATAAATGAAACCTGTTCTGGGTTCATGATGATGGTCTCGTTGTCTAATATATTCTGGACAATGTGGCAGCAAACACTTTTGCGTGGTGCATAATCAAGGTAATCGAGGAGAGCAATGTAATGTTCGAGTTGCAACAAGCGAAGGACATCGTTATATGAATCTACAGGAATCTTCAGCAAACGCGACAGCTCTCTGCAGACCGCTGTACTTGCCTCGACACTGTTCATGTTATAGTGCGATATTCTGTGTCATGTCGCTTGTTTTGTTGCATTGGATCATAAACATCACGAAACTGAATTGATATTAAAAAAAACTGAAAACTAGACTACAAATATAACGACAAATTAACGAAAAATAGACGGAACGGATTCACGAGAAACCGCTTACATATTAAATAAAGACTTAAACTGAAAATTTTGATAATGACTGTAAGTAATTTTAGTAATCTTTATAATATTTAACAATGTGTTGCAGTTAATGTTTATTTATTTAAATTGTACAAATTACCTACTGATCTAAATTTAACTTATGAAAAATTTCATCTGTGGTTTCGAGTACTTTGTCAACATAATCGATCTTTTCCGGGTAGCACTTGATGGCGAGGTTGATGAGTGAAACCTGAAGGGAAACTACATCTTCTATCGGGGTATTTGTACGGTTCTAAAACAAAATTATAACAGCTCTTTAGGGGTCTGTGAGTACTCGGCATAATATCAAGATGGAAAAACATGTTATATCATTTCAATAGATTAAGATATTAACGACGGATCAATGTCTATCTACGCTGCCAGCCAGCCAGTCAGTCAACCTGCAATATGGTTGAAATTTCCTGTGAGAAGACATCAAAAAGCCGATAGGTGTCTTTCAGGTTACAGTCTGTTGATCCCTTGTTTATAAATACGGCTAATCTAGGAAAGTTAATGATTAAATAAATTCTATTGAGTCGCTAATCAACAAAACCATTTATAGGAACACCATAGAGCAATTTCCGATTTTGCAATCATAAGTCAAACAGCCTACAACTAATAATTCAAGCAATCAAACAGACAAAAAATCTAAATTACAAGCAACCTGTCGATAAAAGCAATCAGTATATTTTTAATGTTGACATCAGCATGCAACTCCGCACATGCTTGCAAGAAGCTGGAAAGTGTCTGTAGATGGTATTCATCCGGGAACACCTGGTGGTGAGGGTTTAGTTTTTAAAATTCCAAGTTCAATTTAGTGAGAAACATAATTGAAAATATTCACAACTTTTAACTAAAGTGAACATATAAAAGAGTAAAAACAGTCAGAACTGTGACGGTAAGGATAACAAAACAGAAATAAAGAGGAGAAGAAAGAGATACCTGGATGATACATTCCATTAGATATTCCTGTGCAATGGCATCCTTACAACTAACTACTTGCTCCAGAACTCCTGGAAGAACCAACTGCAATAATAATGATGATGTTGATGACCAGTGGCATTGGTGTCTGTGATTAATTGTTCTAGCTGCAATCAACATACCTTGGTGTACAGATCAATATTGACACTTTCCAGCTGACTGAGACGAACCAGATTGGTTCCTACTAAAATCCTCAACTCCCTCCTTTCTTGTTCTCTCTTTTCACGATCTCTCGTGTGTCCCTGATGTTGCATGCGCACCCACAACTTGTTCATTTCCGCAAAATTCAACTGGATGAAAGAGATGGAATCTTTAATGGTTCCTGAGTCTGTGTCAATGCTGTCATTGTAGGCCGTAGATGGATAAGTTACAGAAGATTAGACAGCAGACAGATGAACAGATTTGAAGAGAATATGAAGAACTAACTTTCCAGTGATGACCTTGTTGAGGCCAGCTATAGCTCTGGGAGCTGCATGCGAAGCGACCACCACGTCCTCAACTCTGCAATATTCATCATTATATGTAATTGAAGAAAGCTATTGAATGATTTGTAGCCGTCACAAAATAAGTGAAGCAGCTATGCAAATCTGCGCTGTATGAATGTCGATAGTGTTATTATTATTCATTCTAACAAAATAAGGAGTTAAAATTTATTAAAAAAAACACGGAATCAAACGGACAAGAGCCGCCATCTTCACTAACTCTTCGACGTCATCAACGTCAGGCAGGACATTCTTAGCACACTGCAACAGATAATTCCTGAGAAATAGTCCTCTCAAAGGATGCTGCACGCCCCTGCACATCTCAACGAGATCCTTCAGGACATCCTTACGAGACAGCTCGTTAGATTTTATGTAAACTATTCCAACTGTAATCAGTAAGTACCTTTAAAGACAGACCAAATAACTATTCACTTTTGGAAAAAGTTATTAAAAATTTTTACTCAAACTAGCCTAAACGACAACAAACAATTTAAACCCAAGGCCACTTCAACTTTTAATTATCATCAATATGTTCACTAGTAGTTTTACACTCAAGTTACACAATATATAAATACTACAGTCAGTTTTGTCAATGCTGATGTCCCTGAAATAAATATTACCAGACCAAGCATTTATGAAGATAAAAAAAAATTTCTGATATATTGTATCAGCAAGAAAAAATGAAGTTAAACATAGTGGGAGTTATTTGGTAGAGCTAACAATCTTGGAATGATGTTTCCAGCATACTGCACCAGTTCATAAAGGTCTGCAACCCTCCTTCCTCTGTTGAATTCATCTAGCAGGTAGGCCTCCAAATGCAAAAGTTCATTTGTGATGGCCATATCTATGACATGATGGTGTGCTGCTTATAATATTTATTTGATTTTGTCATGAAAATAAAATCATTAGCATCCATTTAACTGACATATTTTACATTCAGCATCAGCATAATTGTGTATAGTATCAATACATGACTCGCAAGCATCTCCAACACCATCAAATGCATGCATCACCATCACCAACATAATTCATAATAACTCTTGGGAGACAGCATAGAGGTTCTCAGCTCAGAAAGCATGTTTGATGCATGTTTCAGTCCATCCATTAATTTAGATTTATCCTAATACAAAAAATATACACGTAAAAAATTGTGTGCATGACTGAATACATACATTCAATAAAATTAAAAATTCTGTCAGTGAAATAAAAGTATTGATAAAACACTAATAAGAATAATAGTGACCAGGCATCGTTTCATTTGGAATGATTGGTTCCTCACATTGGCCAGTGCCTCCTCCAACAACTTTTCTTGCTCTTCTTGTGGTGTCATCATCTCATCTGGCCAATAACCAATAAGAGAAGAAAGAACTAATAAATATACAAATGTATATTTCAAAATTTCCATGCTAATAAACATTGTACATATAGAATCTATATTATAGATTAATAACTATATAACATAGAATACAAATACCTCAACTTTTATGTCTATAAAAAAGTTTTTATGACTCACAAGACACTGCTTAAGTTTCATGAGCCAAGTGGATCATCAATTTACATGTTATTCAATTATTATTGTTGTTAGAAAAATACACTACCTTCAGCTTACATATACATGTGTGTTTATAGTATATATCAAATCAAATCAACATATAGGCTGGAAGGAGACCACAATTGATGCAATATTTGATAAAATCTTCTGAATTTTTAGTTTTTAAAAGTTTACAATTGTAGTATATATGTATGTAGCTATTTTATTAAAATTTATTTAAAACAGAATTGTAACAAGAACAATGCTATCCAGAGAGCTACTCAGAGCACACACACATTGATGAAAATAATAAAAAATTAAATTGTTTCTTAACTTAATTTTTAATAAAATTAAAAATTCTTATTTATTCACTACACAATGAATAATTTTTTAAAATTTTAGTAGTTAATTAAGTCAAGGAAAGAAAACGCCCATCCTCATTAATTATTAAACATAATGATCAACACTCAGCCAACCTAACTTCACTTCATTTTAAAATTTAAACTTAAATAAAGAGAACATGAAGTTTTTATTAAGTCATAAATAACTTTTATTTTAAATTAAATTAAACTAATTCTTTACAAAATGTATTATTAAATTTTCAGTTAGAACTAATTAAAGGATTATTTTTTTTATTAATTTATAACTTCATTTTTTAAAATTAAGTATGAGCTGAGATGAGATGAGTACATGGTACAAGCTACAAGGAGACCAACAAATGAAAGCAGCGAACAATGTGAATAAAATTTTAATAAAATTTATTTTGATATCAAAATAAAAATTTATTGAAAAAATTTAGCTTACAAAATTGCAAATTACGCCAAAACCAACGAAACAGCCAGCCGAATTGATGAAGAGGTGCTAAAATTAAACTTATAATCTTATGATAATTATTGTAAGTGGGTGCGTTTCAATTAAAATAAAAATTAAATCAGATCAATCAATCAATCAATCAATCAATCAATCTATCTATCAATCAATCTATCTATTAATCAATCAATCAATCTATCAATCAATCAATCAGCCAATCAAAAAATCAACCAACCAACCACCCAATTTGTTTCTGCAATGTTCAACTGCGCTCCTTATTGAATTTTTCAAACAGATTGGTCTTGAGCTCCGCTCTGAACTTTGTAGGTGATGGAGAAGTAGTTATAGATGGAGGTGTGAGAGTTCCAGAGAAAAGGTCAGAAAAAGCAAGAGCAGGTTGGTTTAACGTAAGAGTGTTTAGCAGGAACTGAGAAACACTCACATACACATTGCGTAATTATTTGTAATTTTGTTTTACACATGTTTACACAGGTTTATGCATGTATGGCCGCTTGAATATGTAATGCTATCTTAATTACATTGTCAAGCCAACAAATCAACAAACCATCCAAACAACCTACAAATCAATCAATCAACCAACCAATCAACCAACAAATCAATCAACCAACCAATCAACTAAATAATCAACCAATCATTCAACCAATCAATCAACTAATTAATCAACCAATCAATCATCCAATCAATCAACCAATCAATCAACCAACCAACCACTCAACCCACTTAGGTACCAAGCCTTCTGTTTTAAAGAAGGAAGCTGCAGGCTGATGATTGATGCGTTCGCATGAATTATTAATGTTCTTTATTTTATTTGATTTAGTAATTACTAAACTTTGATTTTTTGCAATTTTAGATGACTTATGTTAAAAATTCATGAACGTTTGTTTGTTTTCAATGAACGATTTGACATTAAGACGAAATGTACTAGTGTGTTGAGTGAAATATTTCATTCTGACATTGCCCCGACCAACCATGTGCTCCTAAATTTCTTACACGGGGGTCCACCTATTTTAAACAAGAGAATTTCATTATGTGAACACACACACAGACAAACACAAACAAGACACACACACAAACAAGCACACACGCATTTGTATATGAATCCATGTAAATTTGTACAAATATATGTGTGTGTATGTGTATGTGTTTGTTTGCGCACATATTCATATATGTTATATGTGATTGAAAGCGCTCTCTATTTCATTTTTTCTCTCTTTCTCTCTCTCTCTCTCTCTCTCTCTCTACCTTTTTTGTGTGTGTATAATATAAAAAGGGTGGCATTAACTTGCTTTGTTTCAAATAAGTAGATTGCAATTTCAGTGAGAGGATTATTTTACTGAAATTTATTTAACATATAGTTAATATATAATTTATTCCTGAACTGTTTATAAAGGTAATACTGAAAAGAATTATATATACGATTTTTGACGATATATTGAATTTATCTAATCTCATTAAATTTTTGTTTCGACACGTTCCAACTTTTTAACTGCATCAGTGGCGACGATGGTTGCTCTGGCGAGAATTTCATTCCTAACGATGTCAGCCTTCCCAATCATCTGCTCCTTCTTCCTGTCCTCTTCTTGTAAGAATATCGACCGGCCACCCATTCCTAGCTATTCACCCGCGAAGCTACGTGGGCATCATCATCATCACCATCCTCACCGCCAACAACGACAACAACTACAACCCCATCAAACTCTACGGAAAGATGAAGAAACGATATTTTTTAAACAAGTGAATCGGGCAGAGAGGAATGAAAGACAGGGTGAGAAAGATAGCCACAAACGCATTGAGAAGCGTCAGTACGATGACGACGCAGATCTGCAGCAACTGCCGCGTTTTGAAAAGGAGAACTTTCAACAGCACCGTGATTATCCTCACAGGCATCATCACAACCACCATCCTCAAGATGTCATCATCATCAACAACAACAGCAACAACCACAATAATTATATAATTAACAGCAAACATAACAGCGACAACACCGATTACAATTCATACGACGACCAGGCTGAATATAAAACTAGCAAGGATGTTTCCTCCTTGGTCCCATGCGTGGCGGGCAGTCGCAGCTCAGTTTGGTTCAAATTGAAAGGTTCGCCTGTCAACAACGAAGAAGATATTGACGTGAACAATTTCGAAACATCTCTAAAAAACACAACCGACTTTGGAAGTTTATTCGTACAAAACCCAACAAAAAGCACCAACAAAAACAAAAATTCAACGAAAAAGCGCACCAGAAGAGGTGCAAGCTCTACAGATCGCCATGGTCCTCTTCGCACTAAAAAACTAAACACCATCTACGTCAATAAGAACCAGGTGAGTGATACCGAATGCACTTTCAAGAAAAAACTTCGTGTCCTGGGCGACGGTTATTTTCCAACGCGGGTCCTAACTGGGGAGTGCGGCAAATCTCATTGCCACCACGGCATCTCAAATTGCGTTCCAAAGAAATACCGAGTTCCGGTGATGAAAAAAATCGGTCGATTCTGCGGGGCAATCGAGGAGAAGGAACGACTCAGGAAGGTCGTCTACGAAGAAGCTTGGAAGTCGATTTACATGGAGGTGATCGTTGCCTGCCAATGTGACTTCAACAGGGAACAAATATTTCCAAGCTCTAAAAGTTGAAGCCAGAGATTTGCAACTACATATCTAACATTGATGGAACGCTGTTTTAACGCTTGCCTAGCAAGCATTGCTGCTACAGTAGCCTAAAATATGATCGGATTCATGGAGCTGAAATGAGGAAGTTAAAGAATGGCATCTTCTCGAGCGACAATTGTCTGTCTCGTCATCGTTATCGCTGGCACGGTTGAAGAGTGAAGTTGAAGAACACTGATGATATGAAACGAAACGCGGACCGTCAACAAATGAAGCCAACGTTAGCAAAAAAAGAAAGAAAAACAGCACATCCCTGCAAAATGTGCCCGCGATTTTGACCTACAGAAGAACTCAATGATGGCGCACTCTCACAGCCACTGGTGGTACACACACACGCTTATATACGCACTATTTTCAGGTGCTTCGTTTAATATTAACAGATATATTTATTAATTATCTAGTATTTATTCAGTTATTTCTTTATTATTATTTTTCATTTTAAATTTTGTTTTCAATTTTGCCCTATTTATTCGAAATTATTGTTTGCCAACGTGTCTCTACACAAGCCCTTTGTTTGTTCCATACATATTCATATAGACACAATGTTTATATATGTGTATAAAATTGTTTGAACAATTTTTGCATAAGTTGTTTGAACTAATGCATGCATGGCTTTTTACGCTATTTATTTTGCCCGCCGTCGTTCATAATTTATAACCACACTTGGCAGACAAGTTATTTTCAAAATGTTTTTACGCCACTATTACTTAACTTATTTCTATAGACAATCATGCAAACCACTCTCCCTCTCTCTCTTTCTCTCTCTCACTCTCTCTCTCTCTCGATGCTCAACAAGCGATTATGATGATGATGGTGATAATGAGGAGGAATTTTTCAAGAGCAGCGTAAATTCAACATAAAAACACCTCAACACCTGTCATAAGAACAACACCATCATCATCAACGCCATCGTCATCATCATCAACACCATCGTCATCATCATCATCAACATCGTCATCATCGCTATTAACAACAACGACAACAACAACATCATTTCAACAGCGCCGAATATCACTAGAGCAATTTTGTTTGATAACATGAAATGTGTTCAGCGTAGTTTTGAAAGCACGAATGTCCTGGCGGTCTGTTGCTTCAATAAGAAAACTCATCCAATGACCCATTCAATTTGTACTCGTAGATAAAATTTCCCGCTTATCTGCGGCTGATGCTGTTAATATCTTCAAGTGAACAAGAAGTTTAGATAATTTTTGTCGATCGAATCTCTAACCACAACCAGCGCACTGCCTATTTATTTTCAATTATTTGTTCCTATCAAAGTTTTTTATTTCGTATTTATTTATTTGTAAATAATTTATTGTTTTTTAAATTTATTTGTTTATTTATTTCATGTTTATTTATTTATTTATTCCTAACAATTTCAACTTTACATCGTCAGGTCTAGAGATTTTCCTTCTTAAGCAGCAGCTGTGATATTTTTGAAATAAAACATTACATATCAACAACTCTTCTGCAAGTTCTTTTGAGTTAATTTCTGAGTCAATGTTCTGAAGATGATATGCTTCTCTCAATACCGCCACTACTACCACTACTACAACTACTACAACTACTACTACAACTAATACTACTACTACTACTTCTACTACTACTACTACTACTACTACTCATATAACGCCCCACTAGTTCGCATGTGCATAATCATAATTTCAGAGAAGTATGAAGTATAAAATTTAATTTACAGCACGTTCTGCACAGTTATGTCTATGATGACTGCATAATAGTGCATATATTTATATACATATATATTTATATATTATATATATTATATGATGTTGGTGCAATTTATAAATCGTGAAAGAATGCCAAACGCGTCGGGTATGTCGAGATTGTTGTGACTTTTTGATTTGGCAGCAATAAAGTGCTGGCTGATGTAATAACAATTATAACATCATTGCCGTAGTCTGCAGTGATAATTAGGGTAATGATGATAATGATCGTGATGGTGGTGGTGGTGAAAGATCTATAATAATAATGATGATAATAATGGAAGGCCAATGATAGAATTGGAAAATAGTTAAAAACCGGAATGATTATTCGCATGCTCATTGCCAGCTTGATTGTCATCCGAATTCTTTTCATGAAAATTGCAAGTAGACATGTCAGCGGGTCCAGAGGTGTGCACTACCACCAAGAAGCTCTGACTACTTCTTAATTCATTATCTTCGCTAAAAATGATGAAATATTACATTAGCCTCAAGTGTGTGTGTGTGTGTTCGTGTGTGTGTATGTGTTCATGTGTGTGTGTGTGTTTTTGCCCAAGTATTATCAGTATTTATTATTAGAGAAACGTACGTATGAAGAAATCACACAATTTAGTTACGTATCAGTTATGTGATTCGCTATTGTTATTATAAGCGTTCATGATTGTGGATGTTCCAACTGCCATTTGTATTATTGTTGCATTCATGGTGAATATGTTTCAATTATTATCATTAGCAGCCTCAGTATTATCATTGCTGTCTCTCTTCGTGTTATGTTTATTATTTTGTCAGTCGCTAACGATTTTAATCTGCTGAATGAGACATTTTTTCGTTTGTACGTCATTAGCGAGAAACCACCTCGCACATAACTGGCTGTCGTTATCGTTGTTGTTGTTGTTGCTGTTGTCGTTGTTGTTGACAATATCATTGTTGTTGTTATCGTTGTTGTCCAATGCGAGCTAACGCCATGATAAGATGGTCTGTTGCAGCCAGCGGCATCTAAAACCATTGTTGAACTCCACACACATGCGTTCGCGTACACGCGAACGTACACACGTACACATGTACGAACATGCACACACATACACACGTGTATAATATAATTGTGCACTTGTACTATCACTTGATTGAAGAAAAGACCAGCCATCTGTTCGATGAAAGATCGTGTTTTGTGGTAACAATACAATTCAATACATGTTTGATTGTAGTTAATGTTTGTTGAATGTTCGTATGTTTGTTAGCCTCTCACTCTCTCTGTCTCTCTCTCTCTCTTTCTCTCTCTTTCTCTGTCTCTCTCTTTCTCTCTCCGTCTCAGCGTTTGTTACAGCACTCAGAGGTGGTCCAACTATTTAACATAATACATTTATTATTATAAAGACATGCTCACACACGCACACATACATACAGACACACACGTGTTTATACTTTATTTATGTATGTATGTATACCAAAATGTTAGAAGATAAGCACTGATGTATGGAGGGAAATATTTTAAATTCTTCAAATATTTCATTCAACATTTTTATATTAAGTACTGTTATTATGTATTAAAATATTAATATGTGCATGGAATGTCATGTGTGCTTTCTATTGACTGTGTGTGTGTATTTGTTTGTTTGTTTGTGTGTGTATGTGCGTGTGTACGTGTGTGCGTGTAAGTAACCGGCTGGTAGATTTTGGAATCTGCACATGAATACATTGTACATTTGCAGCGAGGACTTTTTCATGCCCACCCATCATGATTGTTTCTCTTCTGGGGTTGAAATAGCTTTGTTTTAAAAAATTTTCACAGATTAAGTCAGCAAAGTCAGGGATGTGTCATTTGCCAGATTTGTATTTTGCTTGATAAAAATGTTTCATAAAATATTTATTGAAAGATCGATTGATTGGTTGAATGAATGAACGAACGAACGAACGAATGAACGAACGAACGAACGAACGAATGAACGAACGAATGAATGAATGAACGAATTAAACATATTTTGGTGCATATACAAGGCAGGACACAATGTTGAAAGATTTGAGAATAATATACCGGATGGAGTTGCACATGGGCCATTAAAAAGTGGGGCAGGTCACGTGACTTAGACTTTTAAATGATGATGCGCCGTTTCAAACTGTTGTTAATTGTTCTCTTGTTAAATTGAGTTTTTTCGTTCTTCTTTTTCTCTTTTTCTCTCTTTCCTTCTCTCTCTCTCTCTCTCTCTCTCTCTCTCTCTCTCTCTCTCTCACCACATAACCAACAACAATAGCAAAAAGCTAACAACATAAACAACAACTGCCCGAATTAAGCAGCAGCAACGATGCTTGCATACATTAACTTCTATAACTCTTAAATACATCATTCATTCATACATACATACATACATACATACATACATACATACATACATACATACATACATACATACATACATACATACATACATACATACATACATACATACATACATACATACATACATACATACATACATACATACATACATACATACATACATACATACATACATACATACATACATACATACATACATACATACATACATACATACATACATACATACATACATACATACATACATACATACATACATACATACATACATACATACATACATACATACATACATACATACATACATACATACATACATACATACATACATACATACATACATACATACATACATACATACATACATACATACATACATACATACATACATACATACATACATACATACTTTCGTCCACGAAATAACTTGCAACATTCATTTTTGCACGTTTGTATGCCATATTTTCGATCCAGTTGTTTTGTTATTGCGCTCTGTTTTTGTGAGTTTTATTGCTGTGATTCATTTATATTATTAATTAATTTCTACCGAATTAATGAGTTCATAAAGTTTGAATGACAAGTTTCAATGCGGTAGGAACAATATTCAATGGGGATTGTTTGTAGAAACTCTGGTGAAATTTATTGCTGGGATGTAATTCGGAAAAATTGGTTAAAATATGAGATCAAGCCTTTATGAAACTTCGCATGACAACTATCTTCTAACTTTAAAACAGCATTTAATAACAAATTTCATCAACAAATGTTTGATGTGCGATTAAATTTCATTGCGATTATTTTTTCAGCGTTCAGTTCCCTGCCTGCCTGCCTGCCAATAACCTGAATGGAGATCTTCCACGGAAACATGAAGGGACAGGGCGTCAACAAAATGCTTCAAAACAACCACCACAACAACGACCACCACAACAACAACAACGACCACCACAACAACAACGATCACAACAACAACGACCACCACAACAACAACGACCACCACAACAACGAACACAAACACAGCGGCCACATGAGTAGTCACACTGACTACAACAAAAATCGCAAACCCAATCAACACACCAATCTTAGCGAAAATAGAAACATCAACAAAAATGCGACTATAAACGAAATTAACGCTAAAAACATTGTCCATGGCATTTATAATGAAAACATTGGTATCAATTTAATAGGAAGGAGAAGCGGCAACATCATCAACGGATTTGATTCTAACGCAACCACTCAAACAGAGTCCTCTGAAACGTCTGCATTCCACCATTCATATACAATACACCAACAACAGCATCAAATTCTCAATTCGGAATATAATTCTTATAATCATGGACTGATTGAAAGCGATCAAACATTGATTGCACGACCAAAACTTGATATTAACAACCCCATGCCAGCTTCCATGGTGCTGGCTCGTTTTTTACCGAAATCGTTAAAGGACGAAAAATCGGATGACGTCGTCTCACTCGAATTACTTGATAACAAAACTGTCAACCAGTCGAATAAAGAAACAAACTTCAACACCACACAAATTTCATTTAAAGCCGAATTAACGAACCCACTAGCGGAGAAAACATCTGATTTTAAAGAAAACTATGTTTTAACGGCTCTGCCATCACTGCACGATCAACAAGCATCTTCATGTCAAACACCCAGTGGAGAGGATGTTGTGTTGAAGTTTGCAGTTTTTGAGGTCCAGGATCTCACTGATGAGTTGAGGAGGTTGAAGGAATTACTCGATTCTATGGCCTGTCTCGGTGGCGAGCAGAATGAAGAACCGAATATTAATGTAGTACCGAGTACCGATAACACCGAGCAGCAAAATAATACCATCATCGTTAATGGCGATTCTATTGAGGAAATGGAGACTGTGACAATCATGGATACAGAAATAAAAAAAGGTACTTACAACGGTTGTGAGGTGTCGCAAGGTAGGACTGATTATAATTTCGAAGACTCACCCAGCCACCTTGGCTCTAACACCATCAACCTCCATAATCAAAGTAACATTTTTAACAACAGCTCTACCTCTAATAATACTATTGGCGATTTGAATGACCACAGCATTATTTCTAGCACTACTGCCACTACCGGCGATATTTTAAATAATATTAATTTGGATAGCAAAGCTGCCTCGATAGTTCCTTCAGATGACAGTTACATTTGCGGTGGAGCAATTAGCGCTAACATGGCAGCCTCAGATAACCGCGTTCCAACTGAAGTAACGAAGAATAGTTCCAGCACCAACGCTCTGAAAACTGTTGCTAACAAGAACAACATTGCAACCATTAACAACTGCAACAACAAACACAACTCTGGTAGCAACGACATTGAACGCCGAACAAATGGTTATAGCCATGATATTATTGATGTCGATGATGGGGATGATGGTGACGGTGAAACACTCCTGACCTCCAAACAACAGAACATGATTGGCCATGCCTGCTCTTAAGATCTGCTCTAACATATCGTAGAACGTTACATTTCTAGTTTGAATACTTAGTTATATATTTCTGAATTTTTGAAACATTTTTTAATATTATGATTTTAAGATAATTTTTATTTCAATTTTACTATAGCAATTAGATTTTACAAATTAATTATTTTTCGTGCGTGATATTTCATTTCATTTCTCGAAGATAAATTATTTTAAGTTGATTTTTGTTGGGTTACTGTATTAAGAAATGAAACAAATGTGATAAATTCTTTACTTTGCTAAAATTTCAATAAAATAAAAAACAGTCAGAATGTTTAAGAAAAGTGTTGTTGCCTCTAATTATTATGTAAAACTTATTTCATCTAGTGTTTGCACCAAGCAATACGAAAATATATGTATATATATTTATGTATACATAAATGTATGTATATATATGTATGCTGGTATGTATATATATATGCGGTAATTTATGAAGTATATGCAGAAATTTATATATATATATTTATATAAATCCGTGCGTGTGATTAATGAATGAATGCCAGGCTTGTAGGTGTTTGGTACCTCTGAATAGTTTTTGTAACTTAGTCAACTTTTAATCACAGTCGGAAGTTAGACGTCCATTGTCGGATTGTTTTTTTTCGATACGGATTCTGGTTTATTTTATGAAAATTTTGCGAGTTATAGTCCGTAAATTGAATGTAGACGGTTGTTCATAAGAGTTAACGCCGCACAGTTTTGTTGTTTAATTTTTGTATTTTTTCTTTGAGTCCTTACATGTTTATAATTTAGATTTAACTAGAGTAGTTGTCAGCCTACTGACCAAAAAATATCAAATTGAAAATCTGAAATAAGATTTAAAATTGAACTAAAAAGCATTAAAAAACTTAACTTAGTATTTTTCTTTTTCACGCATAATTACATCCTCAGTTAGTGTAGAAAATGCCACTTGCACCTTTTGCATTACCATTTAAAAAGCCAGAAGCCCAAGAAGTTGTGGAGGTAGGGAATGATGGCTTGATGATTAATAAATTAATCATAATTTATTCATTCATTTTAATATATATATATTATGTATGTATATATATGTATATATATTTTTGATTTGGTTTTCAGATTTCAGTAAACTTGTTATAGTGTTATTTAGATATATTTATAATTTATATTTGTACATTTTTTATAAACACACAGACCTTAGTAATAAATAATGCATATTAAATTTGAGAAGCTATGCCATGGTATGGTTTGTATACTATAACCACCCCATACCAAAATAAAAAATGTTTTTATGTGGTTTGTTAATAAGATTCTTGAATTAAATTAAATTTTCAAAAAGCAAATCCCACTTTTGAATATAATTTTTAATTATTTATTCGTCACGGTGCAAATATTTTATAAATTTATCTTGGAAATAAAATGAAGTTCTGGTTGACATGTCGTCATTAATTGTTTACAAAATACAGGAAAAATCAGTGGATGAAATATCAGAGGTAGGTACTCTGCTTTTGAATATTTTTTAATGAAATAGATTTAATTCAAAGTTTTTTGTGGTTCATTGCAGATTATGTAGACTGTTTAGAATTAGACTTAATTGAAATTTTAAACGATTGACTGCTTTTTTTACTTCCTTTTTATTCATTGTTTAATATTTATATATTTAAATGAATAATTTCATGTAAAAATTTTTGTTCTTGTGTATGTCAGAATGGAAAGCCAGAGGAGCCTCACAAAGTTTATGATGTGACAAAAATTGTAAAACATGAAAAAATGGACACATCCTATTTTGATCTGTTGAAAGTCTTAGGCCAGGGATCATTTGGGAAGGTTTTCAAACTAATTTGAATATGTGTATTTTGTAAAATAACACAAGATATTCAATTCCAGCATGTTATCAATTAACAGCACTCCCCTATTTTGTTGAATTTTAATCTTCAAAATGGATATGTTTTAAATTAAATGATTTGTTTGTATATGCTTTGCTGTCAGGTGTTCCTGGTACGTAAGATAAAAGGTAAAGATGCAGGCCATCTGTATGCCATGAAAGTTCTCAAGAAAGCAACGTTGAAAGGTAATGTCAATCAATAGTCTTTTTTGTGTCCGCTGTAAACATGTTTTTATGTAATTAACTGATTGATTGTGTTTGTTTGTCTGTCTGTTTGTTTGTTTGATTGATTAACCAATTGAATAAATAATTAATTCAGTCCGTGATAGAGTAAGAACAAAAATGGAGAGAGATATTCTAGCCGAACTGGAGCACCCGTTCATTGTCAGATTGTTTTATGGTAAGCTGTCAGCAGCACTATGCAATATCACTACTCTCATTACAACTGTTAAATACATTTCAACCTCCTCTCTTGATTTATTAACATGATGTGATAATTTGTTGAATGTGTGACTGATGGCTGTTAAGACGTTTGTTAGAGTAATTTATATTTGTTACTTCAACTGTTATCACACTTTCTGAATGCTTAATTTCGTGCAGTTAGGCAATTAATGAATTATTTTAAATTTTAAAATAATTTTAATTTAAAAAAATATTTAAATCCGTTAATAATGCAAATGCAAAATCCATGCTAACTTATAGAGACAAACATACAGGCAAATACAAACATAAAGCATACACTTGTAAACATACATATGTCTTCACATTTTATAAATTACATACACATACATACATGCACATACATACATACATACGTACATACATACGTACGTACATACATACATGCGTACATGTGTGTATGTAACACACATAAGTACATTTTATACACACCTAAATTTGTACACATATTGGCATGCAGCTTTTCAAACCGAGGGCAAGTTGTACTTGATTCTAGAATTTCTGAAAGGTGGTGACTTATTCACCAGACTCTCAAAAGATGTTAGATACTTTATATTTATCTGTTTATCTTTATTTATTCACTTATTTGTTTCTGTTTATTTACTCTGTAATTTTTTGATTTTTTTTCGTTCTAAAGTTTTTTCTTTCTTCCAATCAGTCAATCAATCAGTCAATTAATCAGTCAATCAATCAGCCAATCAATCAGTCAATCAATCAGTCAGTCACTCAATCATTGACAACAGACAGTACTTTTCTTACAGCAACAAAACAACAACAGCAGCCAGACTATTAACCTAGCGTGAAACAACGCAACGTGACACAACAACAGGTGATGTTCACAGAGGATGATGTGAAGTTCTACCTGGCTGAACTTGCTCTTGCCCTCAGTCACCTCCACAAACAAGGAATCATCTACAGAGACCTCAAACCTGAAAAGTTGGCCCCATCGTTATGTTCATTACTTTATTATGATTATAACTATATTATTATTGTAGTTATAGTTATTGTTGCTGCAATAACACACGACCCACCAGCATCCTGCTAGATTCAGATGGGCACATCAAGCTGACAGACTTTGGCCTGAGCAAGGAATCAGTCTTTGAGGAGAACAAAACATTTTCATTTTGTGGCACTGTGGAGTACATGGCTCCCGAGGTCATCAACAGAAAAGGTCACGATCAGACTGCTGACTGGTGGTCCTACGGGGTCCTCATGGTGAGATGTTGATTGCTTGTTTCTGATTGGGTGGATGGGTCGTTTCTTCTTGATAGTTGTCGGTTGTATGAGGCCTGGCATTAAAGTTGTTGAGTGGTGTTCTGTGTAATAGTTCCTCCCGTTAGTTTTGTGAGGTTTGGAGGGTTAGGTGGAATGGCTGATTATACCACTGTCTGTTTGTTCATCTAGTACGAAATGCTGACAGGACAACTGCCATTTCAAGGTGCTAACCGAAAGGATACTATGACTATGATCCTCAAGTATGATACTATGCTGATGATGAGATGAATGATGATTTAGATGATTGTGCGTGAAGATGATGGTGCATTTCTTTTACTTGATACCATCATGGTGATCTTCCTTCCTCATATCATAAGCAAACTTTACAACCACTATCTTTGTCAACACCTTAAAGAGCCAAACTTGGTATGCCTCAATATTTGAGCCCTGATGCACAGGCGTTGCTGAGGTGTCTTTTCAAGAGGAATCCTGTTAACAGATTAGGTGGGTGGGTTGCTGATGTTGTTGCTGATGTTGTTGTTGTTGGTGGTTTTGTTGTTATGTCATCCTTTGATTTGATCATAACCTGAACGAACTAACAAGCAGGATATGGACCGAACGGTATAGAGGAAATTAAGAAACAGCCATTCTTCTCAACAATCAACTGGGAGAAATTATTCATGAAGCAAGTCAGCCCTCCATTCAAACCAATGCTCAACAGAGCCGGCGATGAATCTTTCTACTTTGATAAGGCTTTCACTTCAAAAACACCGAAAGGTACTCATGAGATTGTTGTTTGTTCCAGTTTTTTTTTCTAGTGGAATCGCTTTTTTTATGATATTCATCACTTTTTTACTGCTTTTCAAGTTTTTTCCACTTGAACTATATTTCAATTTTTATCATTTATTCGTTCATTCATTCATCCATTGGGGACGAGCACTATCATTCAGATATGATTATCATTCTTCATCAGATTCCCCTGGTGTGCCACCGAGTGCAAATGCCCACGAGCTGTTCAGAGGGTTCAGCTACGTGGCCCCAACCCTGATAGAGGAGGTCATGGCTGGCGAGAAGCCCGTCATTTATAATACCAGGTCGCTCGCATCGGTCAGTGGTCTCTTTTGCTTCTGATTTGCTTCTGTTTCTATTTTATTTAGTGTAATGGGGTGCTAGTGTTATTGGGGCTAATGTTGCCCGTGATATTTCTGTCACTTTATTTTAATAACTCACCTTTCAAGCTAACTGAAGTGAAACGTAGAAATTTTCTTGACGACTACGACTTGAAAGAGGTTCGTTTCATCACCACCACCACACCTTCCACTCCACTCATCACTTGTGATAATTTAAACTTCTTGCTGATCCTATCAAATTGCTATGTGAATGAAGTGTTTCTTGATGCTGATGCAAATTAAATGCAGGAGCTAGGGTCAGGTTCCTATTCAAAATGCCACAGGTGTGTCCATAAATTAACAGGGAGAGAATTCGCTGTCAAGGTGCTTTAAACATTAATTCATTCATCCATTCATTCATCCATTCATTCATTCACTCATTCTATCTATTTGTTCTTCTGTTCATCAATTAGATAATCGATCCAAGCAAGAGGGATCCGTTCGAAGAGATTGAAATCTTACTGAGATACAGGGAGCACCCGAACATCATCAAACTGAGAGATGTCTGTCATCAACAATTTTCGCTTCAGACGTTGAAGATTGTGATGACGACGACGACGACGATGATGATGTTGAAGATGGAGATGATGATGATGATGTTGAAGATGGTGATGATGACGATGATTTTGAAGCGTATTAAGGACGAAAGAATGTATTTGGTCTTGTTATTTTTACTCACGAGTCATTGTGTGTCAAATCTAAGTTTTTAAACAATGGGAGTGTTTAAAATGTTATATATAAATTTAATTTTTAATGATGGAAATTTTTGTTGAGGTGGCTGCATGAGTCTAATACGAGTTCCTCACAGCCATATACTCTACTGTAAATGTTTTTTTCGTCTGAGGACAAATAAAATATTTTGTATTTGTTGTGGTGCCATCACAGTTTTGAATGCCTTCTTTTAATGCTATCATTGCATTGACTGTGTTGTAGTAATAAATAATCTCCACCGTCGTTACTGTCTTGATTTTCAGATCTATGACTACAAGAGCCGCATTTACATGGTGACGAACTTGCTGAAGGGAGGTGAACTCTTGGATAGGATCCTTAAAAACAAATACTTCTCAGAGAGAGAGGCCAGTACAATTTTACACGTCATCGCCAAGACTGTCTACTATCTTCATTCAAAAGGGGTGGGTCTCTTTTCATACTTCCACTTTGATTGTTGATTAGTTGGCTGATTGATTGATTGATTAATTGGTTGATGGATTAATTGATTGATTGATTGATTGATTGATCTTTCTTTTCAGTAACTTCAGCCAATCAACCAACCAAGCAGGTAGTTCACCGAGACCTGAAACCATCCAACATATTATTCTCAGAGGCACAGGCCAACCCTGACAGCTTGCACATTTGTGATTTTGGATTTGCCAAGCAGTTGAGGGCTGATAACGGTCTTCTGATGACGCCGTGCTATACTGCTACATTCGTGGCGCCAGAGGTTCTAAAAAAGAAGGGCTACGATGAGGCTTGTGATGTCTGGAGTCTTGGGGTCATTCTGTACACCATGCTTTGTGGGTGAGTTTGTTGCTTGCTTGCTGGTAGATTGATGAATTGGTTTTGCTGAATAGATTAATCTAAAGTTGATTATGTTCCTGTCTGTCTAATTGTAAACATCATTTCAATTATGTTTCATCTTTGTAGACAGAACAGCTTAAGTTAATTCGTCGCCGAAACGAACGCAATTTACGATAATAATGGAATGGATAAATAAATAAATAAATAAATAAATAAATAAACTGACTCGCCAGCCACACACCGTTTGCAAATGGTCCAGAAGACACTCCCGAACAGATTCTGGCTCGAATTGGAGAAGGTAAACTAGTTTTGTCGGGCGGGACGTGGGACTCCATATCATCTGCTGCTAAGGATCTCGTGTCTCGAATGTTGCATATTGATCCAAGGCAGAGGATAACAATGCATCAGGTGAGCTGGCTGGCTGGCTGGCTGGCTGGCTGGCTGGCTGTGATTGTGAGGTTAGTGTTAGGATTGTCATGTGATTTGTTGATGGTGTCCTTACGCAGGTGCTGACACACCGCTGGATCATGAGCAAGGACCAACTGCCTCAGACTCGACTGCCTCACCACGAAGGAGATACTCAGGCCGTCAAGGTGGGCTCCCATACATTGTGCTCTATAAAACTCTATATAACCCTATACAACTCTATATAACTCTATGTAATCCAATACAACTTTATATAAGTGAACATCATAATCATCATCATCATACCAGGGCGCAATGAAGGCCACCTTCAAGGCCATAAATAATTCACCCGCCCCAATTCTTGCCCCAGTTGGCATGTCCAGGTTGGCTCAGAGGAGAGGGAAGGCCAGTTTGAAGTTGGCCACCGATCTTTGAAGATCAGGGATAGGATGAAGACGGAGAAGAAGATGAAGGGGGAGAGGAAGAGGAAGATGGAGATGATGTTGTCTGAAGTTTCCATTGGCGTGTGTGTCTTGTAGATATAAATCATAACGATGATGATAACAATTATAATACTACTCCCCCTCCTCCTACTACTACTACTAATAATAATAATAGTTCAACATGCCATTGATTATAGATAATTATGCTAAACGATATTTGTCCAAATGAATTTGTATTGCCATATGATCAAAATTTTATGAGGTGTTTCTTTTTATTTGCAATAGTATTACCATTATGTGATAACATCATTGCTTCTCAAATAAGCTCGCTCCTCATTCGTCCGTTACATCCATTCATTAAATCATGCTTTCTTTCTTTCATTCAATCATTTATTCGTTCATTCATTCATTCAATCATTGTTTATCTATTTAAATAGTTAGTTACTTTGTTTGGAGATTACCATGCGTTACTTCATTTATTCATTTGTTGACATTTTGTAATTCCTTGTTTTCTTTATATATATATATATATATATATAAATATATACATTCATTCACATTCATTCATTCATTCATTCGCTCTGTACTCGTTTTATTTTATTCTCATGGCTTCATTAAATTTCTTTCATTTATTTCCCCACGGGTGCCGCCATCATCAGTTTCTTCATCTTCGCGGTCATCAGCATCATTAATTCCTCCATACTATCTCTAAGGTCTTAATTATATTTCAACCGTTGCATAGTAAGTGCATGTGTGTATTCATGTATACACATGTATAAATATATTTATATGTATATTATGTACGTGTTTTAATTATTTTATTTACAAATATTGAACTTTCAACTTATTTAAACTAAAGCAGACATCAAAGAATTTTATCTCATTTCATTATTTACAATGCGTCCAATTGGATATGTTTATATGTTCGTCTTAGCAAATTCGTGTGTTTGCGTGACAAATACTTGAAGCGGATAATATTAGATAGGGCTTAGGTAGCGAATTTATTTTTATAGAAAATGACTTCCACATCTGTTCATTCGTTGTAAGCAATCGTGTTATACATCACCCACGTCACAGGCAGGCACTGCAACTGCATCCATGATTATTCTACATCACTTTCACATGACACATTTGATCATTACTTATTTTTGTTGCTTAATAAGTGTACACACACACAAACACACACACACGTACAATATTTTTACATTAGCCCAGTGACATGTGTGAGGAAACATTTGTACATACTCCAGATGTTCATTATTTAACTGCAGGTCGTTGCACTAATGAATTTTTATACCGCATCATATACTTGCATACGTTGAAGTTTGTGCAATCCTAGTTCTAATTAGACTGTTCACATTCTTTCAAAAGGAGTTTTTACTTCATGGTCAGTGGAGAGGGCAGGCTGCTGATGGTACACGGTGGATGATGTTTGCTTGCCAGAGTTTCACTAATTTTATAACAATGATATTTACACATGGTTGTGAGGATAGAAATAATAATAATAAGTAACAAAGAATGGTCGGGGTGAGAGTTTGTAACTGTCCATTTTGTTTTTGCTTTTTATAAAATATTTTTAATTTTCTGTTTTTGCATCATGAAAAGTTTCAAACATTCAGTTAATTAACTTGTTTGCCTTCCATATTATCACTTCTTTATATTTATCGTTATTTTTTCCTTGCATATATTTATTTTTCTATATGATCATTTTTAGAATCGTCACAAAGCGAGATGAGATGACTGACTGCATTCAAGTTAGCTTGCAAGCGAATGAATTTGCCATCGAGACAATCACTCTTGTATATAATTTGATTTTCATTCTGTTGTATCCATCTTTCTACATTAATTTATACGTCTGCATGATCCAACAACAACAGCTAACAAGCAAGCAACTACAATCATTAAAGTGTACTTTTGTTTCACTTATTATTGAAAAGACCTTATTCTTTTGTAACAATATTATTATTGCTATTTTACCATTATGTGTGGTGTGTTATTTATTATTATTAATATTTTTACTTTGATTTATTTATTGATAAATGTTGTTTAATTTAGATTAATTGGTTTATATTTTTGTAGTGCTTACATGTACGTATGTATATAATTTGTTCGTGTAACTTAATTCATCTTAATTAATTTAACCTCGCACAATTTTGAATACATTTTGGTCCACAATCTTATGTATACTTTATTATTTTTTTAAAAACTTGTCTCTAATGTCAGTCTGTTCAAACAAACAGCCCTAACTCTAGTTTCATCACCATGAAGACTCATCCTTTTTTGAAGAGAGACTTTTTTCTGTTTGCATTGACATCGTTCTAACTTCAAATCTTCGTTTAACCGGATGTAGGCTTACATTACACGCTCTTTAATTTAGATGTTCGTACGTGACTTCTTTCATTCATTCAAGTTTTGTTAACCCCTTTTAACAATGCTAATTAGTTAAATCTCACTCGGATTTGTTCATTCAAACTTGGTTTCATTGAGAAGCATGTTATGAACATTTTTAAGAGCTGCGTGTATTAAACAAATACACAGCAAATGAGAGATTGTTGCTTAATAGCAAGCACCACTACTACTACTAATAAAGGTAACAACAGTTATTATTGTTAATAAATATTTTGCTATGTTAATATTATTATTTTAAATGGGATCCCCATATTAATTTTTCCGCATTATTGTTCAGTTCCCTGTTACTATCGCCAGCTTATGACATTAACAGCAAGCAGATTTTCTCTTCCATTCCATTTCATTACATTATGAATAGATTACACGTCATTACAGTGCATCATTTTACATGGCGCTAGATTGCAGCAAATCATTTTTACAACGCATTGCGTCAGTTGATGGCGTGTGTGTGTGTGAGAGGACTCGTTACAGAATTCTACATGCTACTACGCGTCACCTCTATCAAGCCAAATACATTGTTGATAGCATTTTTATTATTAAACAATTTTTTGTTCTATTTTGTTAATATGATAATTTCTATTTGACAATTTGCAGTTTTTCTCATTTTGTTTCATCTTGCATTTGATATATGCATCAATTAATTTATTTCATGAACAAGCAAAACATAAATTTTTTCATGTCTGTCTCGGCTGTCGTTGTTTTTGGTCTTCCTGTTTTTTTTTCTAATTAGAGTGCACTTCGTGGCAATCGATATAAGCGCTTGTCAGTTTCGTAGCACGCCGACTAGCAGTGCCCGTACAGACGCCCGCACGTAGCACATTCACTTGGAAAACAATTCCAATTTATTTTAATAATTCAAATGAAGAAACTATTTTTATTACATACAATGTTAACGTTTTTGATGCGAGCTTGTGTCTGTCCGGATGTCACTTCTTACCCAAATTCTACCGGATGATGTGATGGTGACAGAAGTGCTGATTATGATGATCTTAAGCATGCGGCTTATCGTTGAACGCTTGATTAATTTCTCATAAATATCTTACACAACATCTTTATACCTGCATTTTTGTGCAATATCCAGTATCTCTATACTTTCCAAGTATACTCTCTCCTTCTCTCGTGCTTTTTATTCTTTTCTCTTATTAAGAATTTTGTAGAACTTAAGATTCTCAGACAATTTTTTTCTATTAAGATGGTTTTCTTAACAAAGTATCAATAGATCGATTAAAAACATACGACCAACAAAACCGACCAAGTTAGCCAGCTCATTTTACTTTGATTTCACTTAACTTTGTACTAGATGGTCCTGCAGACTTGTATAGATATTCATGGTTTGGTTTTGATGTTTGAAGGCCTCACAGAGCGTGCGTGATTACGTGTTGGCTCGCATCATCTCGTGAAACTTCTAAATTGTGTGATACATTTAAAAAATACAGATTCCGTTTCTAACAATAAATTTTCTTCGTTTTTCAGTTTCTTCGAGTTAAAGACAAAATTTTCAATATCAGTTAACATTTTAAAATACACATGACCAACATAGATAGATGACATACATGCATATAGACTATAGAAAGACCTGTTCGTTGCGCGTATGAAGAATGAGCCAACGCAGGCAGTGCAGACGAAGCAGGTGCACATAAAATGACGATGCATTAAACGTCGCGAGGACATTTTACGACTTTTAAGTTATTCTTCTTTGTCAGAGTGGAGTGGAGTGGAAGACGAAGATTCACCACTCGTCGTTAGTAATAATTAATCAGCGTCCTCAGTAGCTCGCTCGTGAATATTTATAAAAACTTGTCGACAGCAATCAGTGAATTGTCTATTAATATAAGTTTTGACCTAATATTTGTTACTCAGAAACTAATTGCTGATAAATATTGATGCCCCGCTTATGAATGTTAACGAACAACTAATGAATATTAATTAAATACTCGCGAAGATCCTTTCGACCAATGGGAAAGACTCCTACACTCAAATCTCCGTACTGCCAGTGCCTTCACGTTGACCGCAGGTGTCTCAGAATGAAAGGACGAGGTCAGCAAAATAATAATATTTATGATAATAAGGATGGGATCAATGATAGCAATGCTGCAAGTAAAAGTGGCAACAGTCCAATTGTTAGAAACGATATAAGTAACGGAGGTAGTGAAACAAACTCAAACAGCAAGAACAAGAAGAGGGAATTACTTGTGGCTGCCACTGCTTATACAACTTATACCAAAACTGCCACCACTACTGTTGCTTCCACCACAACCTCTACTACTTTACCTGATGTTAACAGAAAAACTAACAATATCAAGTATCCAAAAAACAAAATTGTTCCTTTAATAACATCATCGTCGTCGTCATCATCATCATCATCATCTTTACTATTGACAGCATCATCACCACTACCGCCATCATCATCATCGCTGGTTTTCCATACTGTAGATAGCACAGTCCTCATTGCATTGAAAACAACAACAGAAGAGATGCCAACACCATCGTCGGCGTTCACAACAGCAGCCAGAACATCACCACCACCAACAACAACAAAATCCTCATCGCCATCACCAACAACATCCTCATCATCACCACCACCAACAACAACAACATCCACATCGTTATCACCAACAACAACATCCTCATCATCAAAAGTTTTTTTGAATTCTAGCGCCCAAATAAACAACGACAGCAGTATCAATAATAATAACAATAACAAGTATGATAAGGGAAATGATTTCAGTGGACAAAAAAATGCCGTGGATATCCGTCCTATCAGCCATAATACCGGCACTGCTACAAATACAACTAACAATACCTTCACTGATACTACTACTTTTACGACAGCCAAAACTGATACTACTACATTTACCACTGCCACTGTTGTGGCTGTGACTGCTAACAGCAGCGCGATTGTATCAACTGTTACCGCATCGACATCCACAGTTGGCATTCTTAACGATTTCAAAAATAAAAATATAGACAGAGCTAAGGATAAAAACATCAACAAAGACAAAGACAAAAACAACAACAGTGACAAGAAAAACATGGACGGAAAAAAAAACAGAGACGAGACGTCACTAATAAGATTAGCGATGATGTCAACGAACGGCTTCATATGGTTACCGATTGGTAGCAACACGAAGATCGGATGTTTCTGGGGACCAAATGAAGAAGAGGAAGATGAAAAGATTAGGAAGAATGCTACTAGAAGTGAGAGACGTTTGCTATTTATTAGTCTCCAAAATATCAATAAACAAACTTATTGAAGTAAGATTCTTAAACAAATTTATCAGACTGTTCGAGATGGAAGTTAAGACGATCAGCGCTGAGTTGTCAGACATCAATGATCGTTGGCCAGGAGTTTGTCAAGGAAGCAGAAATAAATTTGTCAGCCAGAAGGAGAAGATTTGGCAAATTTCTCTCGCAGTATGTTCGGTCCACCTTCGCCAACAACTGCGAAGTTGACTTAATTTGATGACCCTCTAGTCTTATCGTTCTTAAACATTAGTTTCATCATCAAACTTTAGTTTTCGGTTCATTTGGCTTCAACTAAAATATAACCATTCGCATGGAAATGTTGTTAATGTGAATCGATTTGGCGTAATAAAATGTATAATGCACGAAATAAAAAACTGCCTACTGTTAAAACACCTGCATCATTTTACATTTAATCATTTTTTGCACGCCAGTACATTTCAGCGTGAGGGCACGTATCATGTTTCATATTCTTCATCATTCCTCGTAAGCATCTTCGATGAAACATCTGCTGCCGAGGTCTTTGTTCATTTTTCAAACTCAAATTTTACTATACGGTTTGTTTAGCTTTCAAATTTTTATTCTAAAATTATTTTCAAACATTATATATCATTTCTATTGCCATTTGACATATCGTCATAACATATTTCCTAACTATAAGTTAAGTAATAAGTTATAGCGTTTACAGGTCATTGAATAAACTGTGTTTAATTAATTCAATTGAAAACTAATATTAAATTTGTTAAATAAAAGGTTCAAAAATATAAAATTGATAGAAACTTTTGGACCGGGAGATGAAAAGTAAGCAAAGTTACCAAGAATAAATTTAGTTTCGGTTGGGCAGCATAGTTAGAATTATACAGGACCATTCTTCCTGAGCGCTGAGTACTCCCCGAGCAGCCCATGAAATGGTTCAAAGTCATCGTTTGCGACACCTGCCAGGATTTTATTATTATTCATTATTTCAACAAATATGACTTGATACTTGTTCATAAATTGCAAAAACATTTCTACGAAACCTGTTCAAACCCCCAACACCAACGAACGAAACTGCAACGACAATAATCCAATAAGTGAAGAACAGCGAGAAGCATATTTGCAAACGCACGAAGAAAGCTTAACAACATTATGAAGGCAGTAACATTGCCGAATATAAACAAACAAAGAAATAAAAACAGAAACAAACCTTATCCAACGTAAAATCAAACAAGTAAACCATCTTTCCTTTGAAGAAGTAAGTTGCTTTTTCGAAGAGAACAGAATTGGGAGTGTAACTAAAAACCGCATCGATATTATTCGGCACACCCGGCCAATACTTGCCGATTATCTTCGGGTAATTTTTTTCAATCTGACCGGTGCTGCTGGGCGAGATTCGGTAATAATCGGAACCTTCATTTGGTAGTGATCATCTTGTTTCATTATCGTTACAAACTCATTTAAGAAATGAATTTCGTAGAAAAGAGAGGATAAAATAAGCAGAAAACAATTCGAAGTAGGCATGCTGAATAGTTGACCAACTGTCGGACAGTTCATTCTCAACTCAATTACCTTAGCTCGCGAGATCGATTGCTCATATAATTTTTTTACTTCAATCGAAGCACAGGTAAGTAAACAAAAAACAAACCAAGAAATAGGTAGAGCCGATTATTCTTCGACGACACGAATGCTCCATCCAGCATTAAAAACTCGCTACTAGTCAGTAAAAATTTCTTCGAAAAATAAAATTTTTTTTTCTGTATGTCGAGCGTGTACTGCCACTTTGAAATGCCCTGTTCATTCAATCGTTGTATGATCGCTTGTAAGAACAAATTAATGAGCATGACATTAGAAGAAAGTGCGCTTGTGAAACGTTAAAAGTGAAAGAAGAGAGGAAAGGACAGGTCGCCAACCTCAAAAATGAACAAGTGGATGCCAGCCGTTGGACCGAACTGCTCGTTCGTGGTGTAGGCAGCCTTCACCGTGCCGCCTGTGTACAGCGGGAAGATCTCCCTCACCTCGTAAGTCTCCACTCTCACCTTCGGAGCAACAACTTGTCGCGTCATCAGGTGAACTTTATTTCCTGCGGCGGTAGGTGGGTGAATATTTTACATGAATAAAATTTAATCCAACGGTTCAGAATGATACATCAACTTCACCAACTACACAAACGTAAAGACATACAACAACAACAACCACCTTTAAAAACAACAATGACGGAATCAATACTAGTAACTGCATCAATTCTATCATATTGGCAATGATCATTTGATTTTGTTGTTGTTGCTGCTGTTGTGGTTGTTGGTTGTCTCCAAGGAAACCTGGCTGTTTTTGTAGTGGTGGTGGTGGTTGGCTGCTGAGGAGCGTTCGTGCGTTTCTTGCTCGGTTCCCCTTCAAAAATTCATTTAAAAAATGGGTGAGTGAGAGAGAGATTGACGAAACGATCTTCAGTTTTAATCACAAAAACAAAAACCAGACCGACGAAACTGAACTGAACTAGTGCATGCAACACGTGCACTCTTAGAAAACTTGCGGAAAGAAGAAAGGAAATATGAATGGATAAAAAAATGGTGAACCAATTTTAAATTATTTTGTACCTACCATATACTGCTCGTATGCCTTTGACATCATCTTCATGTAGTTTGAATTTAGGATCGTATTCCTGGTAGTAAGGGAACATTATGGCTCCTTATGAAAATAAAAAAAACTTTAGTATGGTACCTTTTATTAGTTATTTTTAAATTATGCTGTATTCATCGAGAAAAGTAGCGATTAGATAATTATTTACTAGCAGCAGTTAATTAACGTGAATCCGTTTCATTCATTAATCAAACAGCAATTATATAAATAGAGGATCATGTTAACTGTCATTATCTCTAATGTTATTTTATACGAAGAGTTTGTGTCATCACCTCTATGGTTGGAATGCTCCAGACCCAACGAATGACCAAGTTCGTGTACTGCAACTTGTAGGAGATTCTTTCCTGACCATGTGATGATGACGACGACGAAAATGATGACTACATCAACAAAAACAACAACACCATCACAAAAACGGCCTCAATAACAAAAAAAAGTAAACGCCGGATTTCTGACTGACGTTTGTATTACTATAGTAGTTGTAGTAATGGTAACAAAAAATGGCAACTGACCATGACTCACTCCATCCGTCCACCATTCTTCGTCATCAAAGTGAAGGTCCCCTCCGAACTCTGGGAAGTAAGCGTGGGCCAGGGTTCCATCCGGCCCGTCAAATGCGTCTGAGCATCTCAAATGTCGTCTCTTTTCGAAGCTTATTTTTATATCCGGATTCAGACCGCTGGCCTCGAATGTAATGTCGATCTCATCCTGCCAGATCTGTAAGAAGTTTCGTTCCACATTCTGTATTAACTTTAGGTTATACGGTACAGTTCTAGACATATTAACACCTCTAATGTAAGTTTACATTTTCATGTAAACAAAAATTTACTAACATCCGAGAACATCACATACATGTGTCCCATATATAGATAGATACTACATTAGATATAAAAAGATACTACATTAGATATAGACAGATACTATAGTAGATATAGATAGATACTATATTAGATATAGATAGGTAGATAGATATACATTACACACATACAAGTATAACGTAGCCAACCTTAAACGCTTTAGAGATTATGTTGTTGACCATTGTCTGACTCAAAGCAGACGTCTTCGAATATTTTGTGAGATTGTAGGAGACCACATTTTTACGCCAGGAGCTGCCTTTATTGAGTAGGAATGAAATAAAAAAGTAATGAACAGCATATAACAAATAGATGAACTTTCATAGAGTTGTTGGACATCCAGTGTACACACGCATGCATACCAACACATCACAAAATAGCACATCATAAAACTCTCTCAACAAGATGATTCATTTGTATTTTCTCACACTCTCAATAGTAATTACAATTATTTTCTTTTCAAATTGCACTTATATCCTGGTTGGTTAACATGAAGCATAAAAAACGTCACTAAATTCGGCGAGAACCTTTTTCTTATTTTTTATTCTCAGTTAGTGCGTGCTATTTCATAATTACACGGCTTGTTCATTCATTCGCTAATCATAACAACGTCGTCATCATCACCAGCAACAACATCATCATCACCTTGCCTGATGTATCTCTTCTTCCTCTTGCTCTGGATTCTATCCGGCACGCCACAGCGGGGCGTGGCCATCATCTTCTTCGTCGCCTCGTCCACGATACCTTATGTTATCAACCACTATCATCATCATCATCGTCGTCGTAGTTATCGTCACGATCGTAACATACCAGCACACAACTGCGCAATAGCATAACCACCATCACTTCAACTAACCAGTCACGGGCAGCCCAGCCATGTTTTGGAGGTTTTTGATGGCCGCTGTGAACTTCTTTTCAAAGGGTGATGACGCCGATGAAGATGATTTGAAACTCGCCAACCTTTCATCTGAAGAGACGTCCTCTTCATTCATGTAGGAATACTTCCTCAGATAGGCCTTAGTTTATAAATTTCAATAATAATAATTATGACAAAGTAGAGAGCATTAAATTAAATAATGATGAATAATACAATAGCACCTTCAGGAAGTTCACTGTCATCAACAGTTCAACGAGATACAACAACAGCGACGACGAACGTTCAAAATACGTGGCGGTATTAAAATAAAATTCATATTAAAAAACATGAAATGTAGGTACATATGGAATTAAACAGATGCGTACCTCCTGCTCCATTCTGCTATCAAACTTTTCAGCTGTGCATCGCTGCCTGGAGTTAAAGAACGACCAAGACGATAACACGATCACCATCGTCGTCGTCATCATCTTATACAGAGTCATTTAACATAAATTACGCGATATGAAATCAATTGTATAATGTTAATCAACTGAAACTTCAATACTACTGACGCCTCTATATATAATGTAACTACAAGGCCATCGGCGTCGTCGTCGTCCCCTCTCAAAACAGATCTACATATAAGGAATTGAACCAGCCCAATTCATAAAAATGTGACAGAGCAATTACGTTCAACAACAACATCAATAACAATAATAATTACAACCAATAAAGTTTGTTATCATATAAAAGACATAAGGGCAGTGATAATTATAGCAATTATAATGATGAATACGCTAACCAAATAATAAGGATGAAATGAAAATGATGATTGCCAATACTACCTACCTACCTACCTACCTACCTACCTACCTACCTACCTACCTACCTACCTACCTACCTACCTACCTACCTACCTACCTACCTACCTACCTACCTACCTACCTACCTACCTACCTATCTACCTACCTAGCTGGCACAACGTACACACACATTCACTCACAATTACGATCATGAAAAACAGAAATAGTGATGGGATAATGATAAACAACGACAATGGGGATGACTTCCATATTCATCATCACGTGAACATTTCAATACAACCTAATCTACTGATGCTACATCTAACTTACTAACTACTAAATCTAACATTCCTCGCGCAACTATTAATGAAATTAACATGAAACCTCCTTTCTCACCCTCTCTCTTAATCATTTTCTCTCTCTCACTATTTCGTACTCTTAATATTTTATTCTATTTTTCCTGTTTCCTACCACTAAGACGATCCCCATTTGGAAGACCTCCTTACAAGGCGAGGCTCAAACAGAAGAGTAATTTTACATATCTTTTGTTTGAAAAAATCTGAGATAAAAAATAATTAAAAAATTAACCGTATCTAATTATTACCTACAAACAATCAACTTCAAAAACGTAAAATCATTAAAAAACATCATTTCTACTGCTATTCATTTGTTACTATCAAGTAAAATAATAATAATAACAACGATAACAATAATAATACGTAAATATTTTATAATTTATGTATGTACATGAACGGTTCTTTACAAGCAAGAAACATTTGAATGAAATCTGTTGGCTGGCAGGTTTGTTTGTTGCATACATGTCTCCAATGATTGTGAGGCGGTCAGTGGTCTGCCGTTCAGGGCGACGTTTCGTTTGCGTTCACACGCTAATTCAACAACTTATTTCTTAATATTTACGCAAATAAATAATAAATTAATTAATAAACTAATAAAATTATAGATCGATCAATTGGTTGATTGGATGGCTGGTTCACTGGTGAGAGTGTGGCGTGTTTGCCTTCGGAGAGGTCTGCCCCTTCTGCTGGTCGGAGTCGGCCAGTAGGGACGTGTGTGGAGAGTCCGTCTGCCAATTTGTTCAACGTGTGCGTGCGTGTGTGTGTGCGTAGCATCATTACGACTTTCGTTAGCATCTTTTATCAAACTAGCTTTATTCATCAACGAACTATCATTACTCCATCATCATCATCATCATCTTCTCTTTAATCGAATATGATACTATCATCATCATCATCATCATCATGAAGATTCTTATCATCATCATCATCATCATCATCATCATCATGACAGCTTGGAACCTTATGTCCCATCAAATAAGCTTGATTCGTTAGGTTTCGCATCACATTTTCTAGGTGGATCTAGCAGTTAATTCATCATCATCATCATCGTCGTCATCATCATTAATATTACCACGATGTTTGTAATTACCATCATCACCCTCCCCATCATCATCAGCATCATCAATCCAACACAATCACCATGACACAGGCTGTTAGAAGCAACTCGGAAGAGAATGAACTCGAACAATTGAAATTATTTCATTAATATATCGCATTGTTAGATGATTATTATTGAACATAATTAAATAAATATTTATAATTAATTTTCTCATGTATGATATTTGTTAAAGGTTTATAATACGGAACCAAATAAATCGCAAAAAACAAAGCCGAAAAAGAAAAAGTAACCTGACATCATCGAATGTTACAAGAACTTGCACACAAATGCTAAAATTGAAACACGAGCAGTTTAAGCCATAAATTCATTACATGAAAAGTTTAACAACTCGTAGAGTTTGAGTAGAGAACGAAAAACAGCCTTTTAGTGAAAAAAATGAATCAGACCGAGTAAAAAAATGAACGAACGATTGGATGATGAATAGTTTGAATTAAACGATGAAATGATTGAAATATATATACAAATTTTATCACAACAAGCTGATCATCACAAAACACGCAGTAAGTAACAATAGAAAGGCATCCACAAGAACATTTTAAACAATCTCAATCTCTAGTTTAGATTTTCAACATTATCATCATCACCATCACTGTCATCATCATCATCATCATCATCATCATACTTTTCTAATAAACATTTCCTCCTGGTGACCATCAAAATGATGCTGGAACACAGAACCACAATCACCATCATCATGATCACCAGCATCATTATCATAACCACTACACCGACTGCTCAACAACGATGACGTAATCGATGACGTCAGATTTAAGCTGTATGAACCAGCAGAAGAGCTGCTGACGTTGTTGCTGTTGTTGTTGTCGTTTCTGCTGGAGCAGCTGTGCAGAGATTTTAAGCTCTCCCCTCTCAGACCGCTTCTGAAAAGACTTACTACCCTTATCTTTGTATTAGTAATTATCAGTAATTATCATCACCATCATCATTTTTATTATTGTTGTTGTTGTTAGTGGTTAGAAATGTACAGTAGTATTGTTAGTAATAAAGTTCGGTTAATAACAACAACAACAACAACGAATGAACATGATGAGCTAAACTTTTAACACATCAGCAAGAACAACTTTTATAAACGTGCAGTGTATACATATTTATATATACATATCATTCGCGTATTCATCTCATCATTATTATCATAATAATTATCATGATGTATAATGTAATAATTACTAAAAGTATGCTAATGATGGAAACCTGATGTTGGATTCTGTTCAGGCCTCGTACCCACAATATGTGACCATTCACTTCTTCGGGTCTCTCGGAAACAGACCGACTGAATATGCAATCAACCAATCAACCAAACGATCAATCAATCAATCAACCAATCAATCAATCAATCAACCAACCAACCAACCAACCTAGAAATTCTTTTATGATCGCTAACTTTTGCACCACGTTTGACAAAACACTGAGGAAGAGAGGGGTCTGGGATGTATAACAAGACCTGTCACGATGATGATGTGATGATGATGGCGATGCTAACTACGATGATTTTAACAAGGATGACGACAGTGACAATGACGGTTAACAGATTATCAAACATTTTCTAAGCAGCATCATGCCATCTTCAACCATCATCACCATCATTATCATCAACAACATCATCAGTATCATCATCATCAGCAGCACCAACTTGACCCCATAGTAGAGACCCGACGCCGAGAAAGAGACAATAGAGCCACTGATCCAAATACAATGCAACTGTGTCGAAGGCATAACCTCCAAACTGCACAATGATTACCTGGTACCGACGATGAAGATGAAGTGAGTGATGAAGATGAAGTGAGTGATGAAGATGATGATTGAAGATGATGATTGAAGATGATGAAGATGGCGACAGAATGGAGTAATAGGTTAAAACCTCCAGATGGAGAATAATAGGAGCCAAACCTGTATAGCCATAGTGAAGCACCAGATGGAGGTGAAGATGACATTCCTTGAGAGGCCCTCGAATATGTTCCTCTGGCCGTGGATCTTCCTTGCGTTCAGTTCGTTAAAGAGGGTCATCATGACGAACGCGTTGAAGATAATTGTAAAGTGCTGCCCATTCCTGCCTATGTGTTCTGGATTGTCAGATATGCCCGTCTCAATACCAAAGAAAGCTGGACCTGAGTTGAGTGTTGCGTGTGTGTGTGTTTGTGTGTGTGTGTGTGACGAAACAGCATTTTTGCAAGTGCGAATGTTTGTAGACAGTGCCTAGGCAGCCAGCAGACACGTACCTGCAAACAGGAGACAAAGGATGACTGTCAGCTGGTAGACTGCGTGTCCGACGATGTTCTTCAGCATGTTGGCACTAATCAGTGGCTGGGTTCGTCCGTAGGGCATTCGTTGCAGCAAATCATGGGAGGGCAGTTCGGTGGCCAGCGCGAGGGAGGCCAGGGTGTCCATGATCAAATTCACCCACAGCATCTGAATAGCTTTCAGCGGTGACTCCTGAGAAAGTAAGCTTGTAAGTATAAATCGATAGCAAAAATTAATTTTTCCTTCACAAAATTCTTAAGAGAAATCTGGCAGACAAGTGGCAGCTAACGAACGACGAGGCACATACGTTTATAATGCATGCGCCAAGGAAGGCCACCGAGACAGCAACGACATTGACGGTGAGCTGAAACTGAAGAAATTTTGAGATGCTGTCATAAACATTCCTGCCCCACATGACTGCCTTCACGATGGACATGAAGTTGTCATCCATCAGGATTATGTCTGAAGCTTCCTTTGCCACATCTGTCCCTGCTATACCCTGATGGTCGTGGAAAAGGTGCATGTGTGTGTCGTGTAAAAAACATGAACCAAGCAACCAGCTAGCCAACCAATAAACAACAAACGAACGAACGAACCATAGCAAACCCGACATCAGCCACTTTGAGGGCGGGCCCATCATTGGTCCCATCCCCGGTGACAGCGACCACTTCTCTCTGCGGATTGACGGTACTTTGAATGATCCCCTTCACCAGAATGTACTTGTCCTTTGGCGACGACCTCGCCAGGACGCGAAGTTTTGGCCACACATTGTCAAAAAGAGTTTGACTTATCTGATTCAGCAAAAATAAATACAAGAAAATGAATTGCAAGAGACAAAGAGAGCACACGAGGAACCTTATTATCACTTGAGTTTCTTATTAATCTGTTGAAATCTTTGCCTTCCAACACCAAAAAATCACTGTCAGGCTGCAGTATGGTGTGGTGATGAAGACGATGACGATGGCGGTTTTGATGGCGATGATGATTGTGACAAAGATAATGAGAATTATAAACATCAATCTAACAAATCCACATAGTACCAATTTGAATGTTAACAAACCAGCAACTAATGAGACCAATGAAACGATCACTGATTCCCACACAAACTGATCGATGACTACCTACATGACTAACCAGCCAACCATTCAACCAGTCAACTAGCCAGCCAACCAACCAACCAACCAACCAACCGTAATGATTCCACACTTGATAGCAATGGACCTTGCAGTTTCGATGTTGTCGCCAGTGACCATTCGAACTGTAATGCCTGCATTCTGACAGGTCTTTATGGCGTTTGGCACCTAGTTGGTTGGTTGGTTGGTAGGTGGACTGATTGAGTTTCTTGTTGATAGATTAAAAGATTTTATTATTCATCCATTGAAGGAAAGATAAATCTCAGAACAAACAGTACCTCAGGTCTGACAGGGTCCTCAATAGCAAATATTGCAATGCACGTCAGTCTGCTGATGACGGAGTTCTCGTTCTCCCAATCAAAGCTTCGAGGTATCACTTCATCGTTCTCGAGACCAGGAGCTGATCTCAATCAGGTAGGTTGAAGAATCAATTAAAGAGGTAATCAAATCATCCACATCATCATCCACATCATCAGTAACAGCAGAATGCAGAGCAGCAGCTCGGTTGCTAACTAACAGAAGAGCAGATCTTTGTAGGCCACACAGAGAGTCCTCATGCCTTCAGCTGCCATCGTTGAGATGATTCGAAGGACGTCTGATGCGACGGCTGCACTGTAGGCCTCCAATCTTCCTTTCTCCCGGAATATGAAACTGCACCTGACATCAGCAGTGCAGTGATGGTGGCGATTACAATGAATGAAACACAAAAGATAGATGAACTTTCCTAACTTGCTGAGTACTATCTCTGGAGCCCCCTTAGTGAAAACCCTGAACCCTTTGTTGTCTCCCAGTGGAATGACGGTTGTCATTGACTTCCTCAACGAGTTGAAGGTGAAAATTTTTGTGAAGCTCGATTCTGGATTATTTTCACGCACCTGAGTTTCAATTTTTAAATTTCACAGGCACTTCATGTAATTTGTAAGAAAATTTGAAAAAATCTCATCAAATTTAAACAGAAAATTGTAATATTTTTTGTAAAAATGGCAAAAATTGATGATGAAAATGACATGCTCATAGTCAATTCCCATGTCTGTTATGAAGCCAAGAAGTGCACATTCAGTTTTGTTGCCCAGCTGTGTAGGCAACAATCCTTGCTTTTCTTTGTGTACCTGTCATTCATTCGTTCATTCATTCGTTCATTCATTCGTTCATTCCTTCATTTGTTCATTCATTCATTTACTCATTCATTCATTAAGTGATTGATTTGGGATTTTTAATTGGATAGTTGTTTGATTGTATAGTTGGTTTACAATGAAATTTTTTACTAAACATCATTACATATGTCAATCAATCAATCGATCAATCAATCAATCAATCTATCGATCAATCGATCAATCAATCGATCAATCAATCAATCAATCAATCAATCAATCAATCAATCAATCAATCAATCAATCAATCAATCAATCAATCAATCAATCAATCAATCAATCAATCAATCAATCAATCAATCAACCAACCAACCAATCAATCAATCAATCAATCAATCAATCAATCAATCAATCAATCAATCAACCAACCAACCAATCAATCAATCAATCAATCAATCAATCAATCAATCAACTAATCCTAAAATAAATAAATTGATGAACTAGCAATAATCTTAGAGGTGTATCCACTGTTGATGCATATGCTCCCGATAAGAAGTTCCTTTATTTTGTCAGGCAGGCTGTTCCAGTTTGGTGCTTCCTGGTAGTAAACACCTGCCAATCAACGTACAGACACGTGAAATATTTGCCCATCCAATTCAATCAGTTAGCCAAACAACCATTAATTCATCTACTCAAAAAATTGTCACACACACACACCCACAGACAGACAGACAGACAGACAGACAGAGAGAGAGAGAGGGGCAGCAGACCTGACACATAGGACTTAACAACAGCCATCCTATTCGTGGTGAGAGTTCCAGTCTTGTCGGAGCAGATGGCAGTTGCATTGCCCATCGTCTCACAGGCGTCCAGGTGTCGGACCAGGTTGTTATCCTTCATCATTCTCTATTCATCATCATCATCATCATCATCATCATCGTCATTCAATAGTGATTTAACAAAAAAGGTGATAGCAAATATCTTTCTGACGATGAAAGTAGCGGCTAACCCTGACAGAATAAGCTAGTGAAAGGGTGACAGCGAGGGGCAAGCCTTCAGGGACTGCCACGACGAGAACCGTCACCCCAACAATGAAGAATTGCAGGTAGTTTTTCACGTATTTCGTTTTCCACGGCTTCTTCTCTGTGTAGAAGGTGGAGATGGAGAAACTAACCATCAATATGATGACTGTTAATATGGCTATCACAGTTCCTGGTAGGTAAGTGATTGATTGGTTGGTTGATTGTTTGGTTGGTTGATTGTTTGTGAAAGCTGAAAGAAATAAAAATGTAAGAATGAAAAGGAACCTAGATATCCAATCTTAATTGCCAGTTTTGTCAACTTGGCCTGGAGGACAGACTTCTCCTTGCTGCTGTATGTTTCTTCAAAGTCAGATCCATCATGTGTCACATTTGAAATTCTCTGTGTTTGTTTGTGTTTGTTTGTTTGTGTGAATGTGTATCATGTTTAAAGTTCTCCGTTTTTGTTTGCGTTTGCCATGTTGTTTGAAGTTGTGTGTTGCTTGCCAATGGCAAATATCATCATTTATACAACATTCTATATCGCCAGCATCATCATAATTATCATCATCCTTATTATCAACATCAACAAAATCATCAACACAAACTTTGGCAGCTTCATTTTCAGATTGATGTACATCTAGAGTTTATTATCATCATCATTAATCTTTAATATTTGTATTTATAATATAAAGACAATACCATCTTCATCTTCACAATCCTCATCATCTCCATCACGTCATCGTCACCACCATCATTTTCTTCTTCCTCACCACCATCACCACAATCACCACCATCATTACTAACGAGCGTCCTTCTTAGTTCGATGATTGGCGCCATTGAGCAGCATGAAGATGATGCCCGCCTGCGAGTTGACTCCGACACACGTCACCAACATCTTTCCACTACCTTCCATTATGTGCGTACCTGAAATGATAAAAAAATTATACTTGAGCAGGAGTATCTCTGCATTCGAAGCAGGTCACTGCTGCAGAAAAGGGACCTGGTACTGTAGAATAATAAAAAAAAGGGACCTGCATACAGCATGGGGTCAGTGTTGATGCTCTTCTTGATCTGGTTGGATTCACCCGAAAGTGAACTCTCGTCCACTTTGAGGTCATTGCTCTGTATTAAAATGCCATCAGTTGGAAGTAGGTCACCTGCAGGTCATGATAATGATGATGATGTCGAGGCAGTGAGTGAGTAAGAGTGAATCGAAAAACCAACCATATTTGACCATACAGATGTCACCAACGACTATTTCCCCGATGGGAATTTGAACAATTGAGCCATTTCGAATGGTGGCAAATTTTTGGGCATCCTCGATTTTTGACTGAAGTCCTCTAAATTGTCGTTCCTTCTTCCAATCGTTTATCGATGTTACCAGAACAACAACAATGACAGCAAACAAGATGGCAATACCTTCAATCCACGAGGGGTCGTTCTCTCCGGTGTTTGCGTTTTTATCCTTATCCGATTTATCTTCTTGTTGGTCAGTGGTGATTAAATGAATAAAAATGTGATGGTAATAATGAGAAATTTGATGAAAACAACATTGATATTAATTAAAATATCTGATCATTATAATGTGGATAATTTCTACTTCCATCTCCTCTCTCTTCTCTTACTTCCTCTCTCTTTTCTACATCCTCTCCCTTTTATGAAATCATAAATAATGTTAACGAGCTTACTTTCTTCAACACCTTCTGGGATTTGGAAAGTGAGAACTAATGATATGAGAGCAGCCACCATTAATATGATGAGTGTTGTGTCTTGCAGAGCTTCCAGCACTAACATTAGAAATGATTTCATTGGAGGCGGTGGTATGATGTTCTTTCCATAGGCTTTACCTCGAGCAACTAGGTCCTCGTTCTCACCTCCCAGACCTAAGTTAACATTAACTTTTTGTAATCATTTTATTTATTTTATATTATCTCATATGTTAACTATTGCAATGGTGAAACATGATACATACAACTATAGAAATAAATAAAATATAATAAATTAGTTAGCTTTATAATAATTTAGAACAGAAATATGTACCATTTGTTGGGGATGTTTTTAATAGAGTGCAGAGTTGATTAATGCCTCCGGGGAACTTATTTTTCATAGTTTCTACAGCATCCTGACCTTTCAAAGTCATTAAATCTTTCAATTCTTTCAATGAAACACCAAATGGTATACCTGAATCCATTTCTGCTTGGTCATCATATCATAGATAAATATTTTACTTTGTTACAGTTTAAAAAACAGCTGTTAAATCAACAAATCACTGAAATTTGTGGTCTTTTTTAATTTTTATACAGTATGAAGAAACAATAATCAATATTAAATCATGTTTTTAAAATAAAATAATAACACATTGAAGAAAACAATAAATAAAAATAAATAAACTACAAACTTTTGAGTTTGGTTTGGACAGACGTTCTTGTTCAAAAATCGAGCAGATTATAAAAGTTATTTCAACCGAAAACTTTTAAGTCATTAATTAAAATAATAAATAAACTGCAAGTAGAGTAAACATGACTGAAGAAGAAAATTGTGATTTTTAAAGAGGTGGGGAGAAATCTTCTTACAAAAAACTCTCAGACTCTGTTTAAGAGGCAAGTTCATTCGAAAAATAATAATTTAAAAGTTAAAATTAAAAAGTGTAAAGTGGACATAATTAACAAAATAATCACATATTTTTCGAATTTGTTAAAAATGAATTGTAAATATTTTTAATCGAATACGACGTTTCGCCATAAACAAAAAAGACACTAAATAAAATATTTAAATGAAGAAGTTGAAGACTTCAGCCTACAATGGCCATACTCTGAGCAACTTTTGCGTGTTTGCACAAACCTGCAGTTTATGAGATATAACAAGCGATTAATTCAACAGCATTGAGCAAATTTGAAATGAAATTTTCAATAGAATTTCAGTTTTTACTTAAATTTGTCTGACACAGATAATAGAGGTCTCCATCTTCGTTGAAAAAACATTCAGATGAATCATATCATATGCATTTGTATTAGCGAAAACAACAACAACAACAACACACGTTTAGACGGCATTTTCCCCGAGATCGGGGGTTGCCGTTTGGCTACCTATGATGAAACCGAAATACCCCTCGACGCCATCCACATCTGTCACTCGCCTCAGTATCACGCAACCCCGCTTTCACCCTGTCCTTCTCCACCTGCTCTCTCCATCCCAATCGCGGACGACCCCTTCCTACCACTCCTTCAACTTCGAACTCCAACGCTCGCCTAATCCCGACCCTTTCATCCCTTCTCAACACATGTCCATACCACCGCAATCTCGATCTCCTTATCAATGTCACAATGTCCTCATTCAGTCCCATCATTGACATCAGCTCTGTACTACTCCTCCTATCCTTCACTTTAACCCCACACATCATCCTCACCATAGCTCTTTCAGCCCTCTGCAGTACACTTTCCTCCTCTCTCCTCAACACCCAAGTTTCACCACCATATACCATCGCTGCTCTCACACATGCTTTATATACCCTCCCTTTCATCTTCACTGACCATTTCTTTCCACACAATACCCCACCCAGTTCCCTAAATTTCATCCATCCCACACGAACTCTAGCCGTAACTGCGCTCAAGCATCCTCCATCCGCATTCAGCTTATCCCCTAAGTAAACAAAGCTTTCCACTCTTTCAATACCACCACTCAACCCCGTCCTTGCGTCCGTCCTTTTAATCACACCATGAACACATTTCTTACATTTGAACGTGCCTTCCACCTTTTTCAGTGCCCCCCTCACACCACTACATCTCTTATGCACCCATTTCTGACATCCTATACACAATACTGAGTTAGCCTTCACTCTCCTATCACATACCCCACAGGGGTCTATTTTACTTATCACTCGCTCCCCACCTTCCCCACTCACCATTACCTTCGTCTTACCAATATTAACTTTTAACCCTTTCTTTTCAATAACACTTTTCCATCTGTCAAATTTTAACTGCAATTCTTCCATGCTATCAGCCATCAAGACTAAATCATCTGCATAGAAAATCTCAAATAACAACCCCTCCATTATGTTTCCACACACAACATCCATCACAATTGCAAACAGAAACGGTGATAACACTGATCCTTGATGCACTCCTACCTTAACACTAAAAGCGTCCGACATCCCCCTTCCAACCCTCACCTTTGTCTTTGCTCCTTCATACAGCTGCATCACAGCTTTAACAAGTCTCTCATTCACTCCTTTCTTCCTCAACGCCCATTCAATGACCTTCCTCGGTACTCGATCAAAAGCCTTTTCTAGATCCACAAAACACATGTACAATCTTCGTTTCTTCTTTCTATAATTCTCCTGCAACATTCTCACCATGAACAACGCATTAGCGAAAACAATGATGAAAATGTAATAACTGTAAATGAATGTAAAAAATGAAAATAAAACCAATGTTAAAATGTGGAGATAGCGAAACATTTTGCCCACACGAACGAAATATGTATCTATCGGGTGAGTTGCTTCTCTTTTCATCCACAAGAAAGGAATGGTGGAGAAAGATAAATGGATTTTGTAATTAATTATTCGAAGTTGTGACATATAACCTTTTTGCAGTTTGGTTGTATTGATTTGAAAAGTCTATTCAAACAATTAATTTGTGTTTCATTTATAAAGCCGCATATTACTATTTTATTTTTCATTCATTTCATATTATTTTCATTTTTTCATTTTCAAAGTTTTATTCATAATCAACAACATATCAAATAAGTGAATAAAAGTTATGAAGTTGAATATGCGGAGACTGAATAAGACTGTTTGTCTTGTGGTGGCCACCGCAGGTAGATACATGAATAGTTAATGAAATAAAATAAGGAAAATAACTGAAGCAGAAAGATAATTGAAGATAAATAAGTAAATGTTCGTGTCATACATATATAGACATATAACTATGTAAATGTTCGCTCAGTACATATATAAACACATAAATGTTTAACCATTCATAATGACCATTCATCCGCATCATTTGTTCTAACGTATTCTTAATATAATATTAGGTGGTGGAGATCCAGTGTCAATAAAAAAGCACGGAATTTTGACTTGAAATGTTGTAGGTTTATGATGGCTCTTAGATGGGGAGGTACAAGTTCTGTCCAAATTTTAGGACCTGTTATTTTTATGCTTGTCTGGATAAATTTGAGGCGAGTTTTGTAGATATAAAAGAGAGGGGTGTGTCTAGTGGTTGTAGATTGAACGGAGTTACTTTATGTGTAGAAGTTGATAAAATGAGGTGGGAGAAGATTATTGATAAATTTAAAAACGAATAAAGCAGAGTAGTAAAGACAGATGAAGTTAACTGGTAAAATTTTTTTTGCTAGGAAGAAGGGTTTAGTATGAGAATCGGGTTTGAGGTTAAAAATTAAACGTATTGATCTTTTTTGGGAAAGTATTAGGTTATTCAGGTGGCTTTTTGGACTATTTCCCCATAGTGTGATGAAGTAGGTTAGATAAGGGTAGATGAATGTGTAATAAATTATATTATAAATATAATTAAAAATATAAAATTAAATAATAATAAATAATAAATAAAATATAAATTATAAATGTATATATATATATACATATATATATATATATATATATATATATATATATATATATATAGGCTACATATATATATATTGGATTAAGACTGTCAGGAACTGTTGCTCTTTTGGTAAATAAAAATAATTTTAAAAATCTTCTTTAATAAACAAGCGTAAACATTAAAAAAAATCATTTTCCTGCTTCATTTGGTCGCACGCGAAGCTTTAAAACAACGGAAAAGGAGAGAAAAAGGCTGCTGTTGGTTGATAGTCATGTAGTGGCCACATGGTAGTGATGATGATCCCGAGATGGTGATGATGATCCCGAGATGGCGATGGTGGTGATGATGATGCCGAGATGGTGATGATGATCATGATCATAGGTCCTTACTTCTAATGAACCTGTTTCCTTGCGAGTGTTTGCCCAGGTATACATAATCGCACTTGCTAAACGAAGCTTCAAAAATAAATAAAAATACAGAGTGACAGTCGTGATGATGATGATGACGGCGATGTTGATGATGATGTTGATAGTTGTGATGATGATGATGGTGATGATGATGATGAAGGAGATGTTGAAGAAATCGATGAAATCATTAACCAATACAATGAAGAAGAAACTAGTTATGATGATGATGCTGGTAGTGATGATGATGATGATGACGACGATTGTGTGGTGATGACGATGATCATTGATGACGATGGTGATATAAAAGATTGTGATAGATTT